GCTTTGTCTTATTTAATAGTACAACAATAGGTAAATTTATATAAATTAGCTAGTGGTAATTCTAAAATGGAGTATTTGGCGGTATTGCCAACGGATTGATTATTTCTCATGATAGTAATTTTATTGTAGCTGTAGAAAGAGCTAGCGTTATTTGCGTTGTGGATATTTCAAATAAGAAAAACCCACAATTAGCTAATTATTTTAGAACCAATGGAGGAGAAAATATTATAAAAGCCAAATATGGGACTAATAAACAATATGCTTTTATAGTGTAAGGCTTGTATGGTATTGATGTAATAGACATGACTTCTCTTCCTCAACTAAATATTGTAAGCAGAGTTTAGGTTCAGGGTTATTCGAACTTTATTTCTCTTATATAGAATAACACATATGCACTAGTGAGTTAGCTAGACATTGGTGAAATTAGTTTGGTTAATTATACAGATATTACTCAACCAAAAATAGTGAGCACATTCTAATATGTTAATGAGCATGCTGCTTCTGTATGCGCTTCACCTATAGAAGACTACTTCTATATAATCAGCCAAAGTGGTCTGAGAACAGTACCACTAAAAAGCAACACATATATTCATACTGAAATATAATAAGTCTTAAATGCAAATACAGGTTCACCATAGCTTATTCATCTCAGTAAGTATCAGCCTTTGCTTGTTGGATAGCAAATTAACTATTAATTTCAGATTCTTCTGCCTACTCCTGGAATATAAATAACAAATGTTTATTACATAGAATATGGTCAATTATAAAGCTTGCCATATTGGATGAATTACAATCCTATTCAATAAACACTTTCTCTTAATATCGTTAAAGACTCTCTAGGTTAAAACTATGACACAAGTAAGAGAAATCAACTGATCTAAAATACAATCGTTGTTTAATCAAATATTCCAGTCATAGCTTCAGACTTAGTATTTACAAAGGCTGTGCATGGGGTTGATTAAAGTTTAGATTAGGCAAATCAAATATTGAATTATTTCCATAATATAGGTTTACTTGATAAATCTGATTTTGTAACCAGTGTTTTCTAATATTAAAAACCCCTCGGTATTAACCTTAATGGAATAAATTTCAGTGATTAATTGCTAAGTAATATTAAGCTAGTTCTACAAAACTCAGTAACATTAAATCCTATATATTTTAATACTCAATCATCTCTGAATATCAATTTAAACCCTCCTCAGAGCTAAGGATCTCAGTTGTCATACATTTCAGCACTAGAAAGTAGAGTTTATATGTTCTTAACTATTGATTTATAGTATGGTATGTTTGTAAACAAAAACTACAATGGTTTAATTTCATCAACTACAAGTGCAAGAAACCAAGTACAATTAGAAGGAGATCCATAGGTTTTGAATGCTTGTTTGAATAACAAGATAGAGGTTTTTATTCATGGAATTTAAAACGTTAATTCCACATCGAAAATATAGGAATTATTATAATTAGTAAACGTCACTGTTTAGCTACAAGATAATACTAATTATGATATAATACAAAATTTCACTATTATTTAAGCATCTTTTTTTAGATTTAGAGACAGATTAGTCTTAAATCCAAATCCTAATATGAACTTGTAAGATTAAGTGAACAGTTAATTTTCAAATGGAAACTTAGAAATAAAAACCTCAATAAGTATAGAGTTTTCATAAAATTCTTTTATTATAGTAGATAGCTAGACAGATCACTCTCTTCCTCTCACATATAATGCTTACTTGATAAAAAACGGATAATATATTTCTATTCCATCAAATTTTTGGCTTTAGTTTTAACCTTCCCTCCTCAAATTTACAGGTTAATGCAGTTATTCTGAATTCAATAACAAATATTGCTTCTTTTTGAATGTAACAGATTAATATTCAGTAGCAAGTGACATCTTTTGTGTAGTAACAAATTAAATACCATTTTTAATTATCCTTAACCTAGTTTTCTAAATTCTCGGTCCTATTGTTTTTGTCTTGGGACTTTACAAGTATTAAGATATCATTTATAACTGGATCTTTGCTCAAAAGAATTTATATTCAACAGAGTATGCTAAAATTAATCATACCTTTTATCATAGAACTATTTTTATTGGATAAAACATGCAAATTGCGAACGAGATTTTCACAAAATTTATTAATGAATTCAATTAAGGCAGAATTACAGTAAACCAAAGTCCGCAACCAGAAGACTAAACAAATATTTATGACACTTAAATTTAAGGCAAATCCAAAGAAATGGCTAAAAAAAATATATCTTAAGAACTTAATTTATCTAGAGATTTAAAAAAAAAGATAACAGATTTAACTAAAACACCAAATCAAAAACTAACAAAAATAGAATAAACTTATCTCAGTTAAAAGGATTCATCTCTTTTATTTGAAAAGTTCATAGCAGACCTTCTTAATAGTGATATATCATTCAGATTAGATGGAAAAATTTAATTTGTTACATCATATAAAGAGTAGTTAAAATCAAAATCTAACTTATTGAGACTATCAATCAGGAGTCTTTTAGCTCGACATCTTCTTGAAAAAGATAAAATGACAGCGAAAGCCTATAATTTCCTAAAATAATATTCTAAAGATTAAAAAAAATATACTAAAAATGATTGGTACAAGCACTATGTGCACATCAACCATATGGAAGAAGATGATGAAGATAACAATGAAGCAAATTTATCTATTTTGCCAATAGCACATATTGCTGCCTCACCATCAAATCTGAATTAGAACTTCAACAATAATATTAATATAAATTAGTAAAATAAATATTTTTATTGTAATATTCCTTAATTATCAATCAAGAAAGAATCTTTTGATTTGGCTTTAAATACCTTTAATATAGAGGAAGGAGAGGAAAATACAGCTTAAGAAGCTAATTAGCAAGAAATTCCTGTTAGATATATAAAAACTTCAATTAAAGTAATCTAAAAATAAACTAAATCTAAGATATTTTAGATGATAAATAGACATTTACTTAAAGAAATTTTATTTGCAGATACTCTTGGACTTGTCAATCCTTCTCCTTCAAGATATCGTCCTTGTTCTGGAGAATCAATCCATTTGGAAGAGCATGAAATAGCCAGTGTGAGAGCTTTTACAAAGGCTAACAAATCTTATTTATCTGGACTGCGTAGAATATTTAAATTAGAATATGTACCTCTTGCCTCCTATGAAAATAGAAAGCTTCCTTAATGGCTAGATTACACATCTAAATAAGATCTATTTTTACTAAAAGGATGTCCTACTATAGAAGATTAATCTGAAATATTGTTGCGTTTTTATAATTAAAAACAATTCATTTTGAAGTAATTTTTGATCAAAATAGAATATAAAACAGAAGACACTTAATTAAACAGAATTTTAAATAGCAACTAACATGATTTATAAAACTAATTAAGATTTGGGCACTCTAAATAAAGTAATAACAATTAAGATTAGAATTCTCTTTTAAACACTCCAATCCAATTAAAAAGCATATTAAATTCAAATTCAAATTTCTTTAAAGGAAAATAAAAATCAACATTTTAATCAACAGCCTTTAATTAAAATTAAAACATTTTAGGAGAATCCTAAAGTAATGCTGATGATGAAATTATAAGTATGGAAGGAGAAGATATTTAAGAAAATTCTCTAAAGGAATCTAATTTAAAATAAAATTATTAAATATAATCTTAAGAGATTATTCATGGTTAAAAAAATGCTCCAACAACTAATTAAGAATAATAATTAGAGTTTTAAGATAATAAGATAAATAAATACAGTTTTGATGTTTTAAATATCAAATAAAACAGTTAAAATGAAGAATAAAATGAGTGAATTATTTGAATAATTTAATTCATTTTTAATTGTCCTAAAATTAATGAAAATTAGCTAAATACTTTACTACATATCTCATTTACTAACTAATTAACTATTATATCACTAGATTATTAAGCTATTTTGTGTTTGAAATTTTTATCATTTTTTCAAACAAAATAATTTAAATTTATAAACTAATTATCTAATTTATTTTAAGTGTCAATGTTTTAAAAATCTAATTCCTAAATACCTTTCAATATTATAATTTTAATAAATTAATTTTTTTAATTCAGTTAAATCTTATTTTTTAATAAATACTTTAGATAGTTTAAATTATAATTTAGTAAAAATTTATTTTTTTTTTTTTATCTGAAAATTAAATTAAAAAAGATATAATAGAAAAGAAAATACAAAAAATAATCCTACAAAAGCTAAACAAAATTTTGATAATTTGATAAAATAAATTAACAATTTTGCATTATTAAATAATATTTATAAGAGTAAATTAATAGACAAATTTTTTAATTTAAAATTCGAAAGGATACTCACTGCAAAGGTCTAATTATTTATAGCTTTTTTTTTGAATTTGATATAAAAGCCGATTAATTAGAAGGAACATTACAAAAAGTATAATTAATTAATGCTTTTTTATATAAAAAGGGAAATAAAGATTTATTTTATTTATTAATTGAAAATTCAATCTTTATTTATTTTGAACTCAGGAATTAAATTAAAAGCATATTGCTTGAAGTTGAGAAAGATTAAATATTATTTCTACTATTTATTTTATTTTTTGTTGCGAAATAACCTTTTTATTTTAATAAATAGGAGATTATTTATATTTTATATGCATACTTAACATTTAAATATGTGTTTTTTAAAAATGTTGGCAAATAATGTAAAAAAGAAACTAAGATAGAGAACGGGAAAATGATTTTTAATATGCTAAATAAAAGGAGAAGGATTAAAGTGCAAAAATATAGAATAAGAAAATATATAAAGTAAATTTTTAATATATGCTTAGCTAGTTATATTTGGTAATATTTACAATTTCATTGATTTAAGTTTAATATATTTAATGGCCTGTTTTAATCATTAAATATAATTTTTAGCTAATAACAAAGTAAATAAAATATCCACTAAAAGATCTAAGCTAGGATTGATAGTGGATATTTAAAATTTATATATTTTAAAGTAAATTCAATTTTCTCCATAAATAGAGATATGGTTTAAAATACTGGTCAATAATTTTTTAAAATACGGATAGTTCATGTTGTAGATGATATCTCTTTATATCTCAATATATTTAGTGACTTCGTTGTCTTCAATCCATTCATCTATGTCTCGTTTGGAAAGAGTTTTATATCCATTATTATAATGGTAGCAATCTGTAGATAACAAATAAATCTTAGGATTAATGTCTTCTAAGAGGGTTGTCTCTAGTATAATCCTATACCATTTAGTAAGGTTTCTGAGCGATTCCTCATTATTGACATCAAAAACCAAAATGAATCCCTATTGTAGTTGGATAGTTTATTTTATAAGAGAAAAGTGTTCTTGCAACTAAAAATTTGTGTTTATATCCCAAAGGTGCAAATTCACTTTTTTTTTATTGACAGTAAGCTCTTTGGGTAAATTTTAGAAGGGCAGCTAGAAAGCAGATTAACTAAACTCTTTCTACCTAAGTAATCCTTTTATTACAGAAGATTTTCCATCAAGATTATCTCCAATTACCATAATTTGATATTTAGAAATTTCAAGATTTATGTTTTAATAATTAATCATCTTTTTTAAACTATTTAGACTTTTTTTTGTTTTTGTTTTAAAAATCTTATTATTTTTAATTAATTAATTGAGATATCCGCATTTTAAAGCAAAAATTAATGATTTATCTTCTCTTATTAACAATCTTAATTCAAAGTTCCTCTCTCTTTAGAATAGCATTTTAGTATAATAAGAACGTGTAAAAGATAACTAAAAAATGCTTTTTGATAGATAATTGTTTTATTAGATAAAAAGGATGTAGGAATCTAAAACTATTATTAAACTAATGGCTGAAATAGTTTTTTATTTTATTTTTAATTTTTAAAGATTTATTTTGAGAACTGAAAAGAATTGTAATTATGAATTTTACTATGAATTGAAATTTTATTACAAATATTTAATGAATTAATAAATGTTTAATTTAACTATTACTTTTTCTTTGAAACTAGTGTTTTTTTTTTGACAAATTCATAAAATTTGCTTTTAAGATTTTCTTAAAAATTACAAAAAAAATAAAAATATTTTTTATTTAGTAAACTAAAATAATATTTGATTTTTTAAGTTTTTAAGTTAAAAATAATAAAAAAATTTTTTTATGGTTTTTATGATAAATAAAATAATTACCTATCTGATCTAAACTAGAAGTGTTCTTTCAAATTTGATAAGGATTTATTATTTAAAATTTTTAAGAAGTATGTTTAATAATAAGATTTTCTTAAGAAACTGTTATTAGTACATAGATAAATTTTTTATTAATTTATTATTTATTTTTTTTCAATGAAAAACTAAAAATAATTCATTTAGATAGTAAATATAATTTATTTATTTTTTTGGAATAGTAGTAATAATAGGTAATAATTTTAAGAAAAACTGCAAAAGAACAAATTTATTAATTAATTAATTTATTAAAATATTTCTATTTGATAATTTATTATCTATATTAAATTTTGTCATTTATTCTATCAAAAAATTCGTTTGCTCTATATATTAAATATTTATTATCAATATTGCTTAGTTAGGTCTACTAATTAAAAACTAGAGTAAAACTTAAATGTCAACACAGTCTTAATTAAAAAAATCTATTGATGCTAATACATGTTATGAATGCAATGTCATAAAGTCTTCTTCAATTAGACCTATAAACAAATCCCAATTCTCTTAGAATTAAATTATACATGAGAGTGTTTGCAAATTAAAATTATACTCAACCTACATTAAAGTAGAATTTGATTTTGATTGTTTCATCATAAAATTATGTTTTAAACATTTTTAAAATGAAAATGAACTCATAATAAATTTTTAATAATTCTGCAAAATAAATTCAGATCGAATGTTTGAACGTTTTTTATTTCTTAAATAGGTGATGGATCTCAATACAGGAATAGAAGAAGTATTTAACTTGAATCGAAAGTCTCGAATAGAATGGATCTGGGATAATAATCAATTTAAAAACAATGTTAATAATTTTGAAGGTTTCGTTTTATGTCTATCTCTTGAACCTGAAAATAAGTAAGAGAAAGATATTATGAACATTAAAATGAATCTTAGGACTAGCCAGCAAGTGAACAAAACAGAAGCATAAAATTCCAATTATGATAAAAATTATAACATTAACAATAACAACAATAATAATAAATAAGAAAATGCAGGAGTTTAAGAAAATAATTTCAGTTTAAAGAGTCTAAATTAAGAAGGCTTAAGCAGTAGTATGCCTGATATAGAAAAAGACCAAAATGTTAAAATTTAAACTATTTGTTACTTTACAGACTTAGAGTCGAGAAGTCATGTCATACAATACTTCAAAATGAGAGTTATATAGAGAAATTTTCATTAAGTTTACAAGGCAGTAAGAAAGCTTGGCAAAGGGAGCTTTGCATCTGTATTAATTTTTGATATTTATATATTTTTAAAAAAAACCCCTGCCACATACTGGCTAACGCTATTACTTATTTTACACTGCGTTAATAAGGTTAATTAGTGATTGTTAAATTAAATAATTGCAACCAAAAAATAATAAAAATTTTCTAGTTAAATAATTTTACATAGAACAAAACTATAAATTTATGATTAATTAATTTTTTTGTAAGTTTTGATAAATTATTATTTAAATCAATCTAAAACAAATTATTTTAATTTCTAATGAAATCAGGTTTATTTGGTTAATCTCGTAGGAACAAATAAGCACTTTGCAATCAAAGCATTCTTGAAAGAAAAACTAATTGAAGAAGAAAAGGGATATGTAATAAATTTGATTAATATTAACTAATTAATTAAAATTTATTTTTTATATTATATTAGGAGTCGTTTTATAATGAAATTATGCTGATGAGATGCATAAAAAATAAGAATGCATTAAAATTAATTGATATATGGGAGTCTAAAAACAGCTACTACTTAATTATGCCTGTATGTTATGGAGGTTCCTTGCTGGATAGAATAGCTTTTACAAAAAAGATAGAAAAAAATCCTGAATTGTTAATGTAAAGCAAAGCCAACCCAATAGATAGCCTTTTTATTAAAAGTTTTATGAAACAAATGCTAGAGGCTTTACTCAATTTAAAGTAACAAGGAATTCTTCATAGAGATTTAAAGCCAGACAATATCTTACTCTGCTCTCCAAACCAAGTAGAACCTATGATAATCGACTTTGGATTAGCTACATTTTAAGATGTTGAAAACTACATTTACCCTAAATGCGGTACACCTGGCTATGTTGCTCCAGAAATAATTAATATGAGAGATAAAAGTTAAAGATATGATAGCTAGTGTGATGTTTTCAGTCTTGGAGCTATTTTTTATTTCTTGTAATTAGTAAATTTGATAAAAACTTAAAAATAAACAAATAAATTATTTAAATTAAGAAGCTAAATCTAAAATTATTTAAAGTTTTTTACATTTTTTAAACTAAAGATTATCACTGAAACCCTTGTTCTTGGGGAAGGTCACAAAAGAAACTATTGAAATGAACAAAAGATGCCAAATAGATTTTGATTGTAAAGAACTTTAAAATGTAGATTTAAACAGTAAAAATTTATTATATTTACCTTTTATTCTTTATATTTTTGCTCAGAATTATTTTACATCTCTTTGGTTAAAATTTAACTAAAATTTTTATCCTATAATTATTTTTGTTAGGTGAAAATTTAAGAGGAAATACACTATTTAAACAGAAATTAAAATTTATTTATTTGCTTTAATTTATTTTTATTAACTCTTTGTTTTATTTTAATAGCAAAAGACTTGTTAAAAAAACTACTTAAAGTGAATCCTTCTGAAAGAATAACTCCTGAATAAGCCCTCTAGCACCCCTACTTCGGAGATAAATTTGATGAAGACGATATACCAGATGATCCTGAAACAAACATCGATAAGGTTCTACAACGTTTTAACTATGGGTATATAATAAATAAGCTTTATTTTTATAATTTAAATAAATTTTATTCAATCAAATTTTTTAAATTATTTCTTAAAAATTATAATAATTAAATAATTTTAATAAAAAATAAAACTAAATAAATGAATTAAAAATTAAAAATAAATTTATATTTAATAAATAAATTTAGGAGACCATTTGATATGCAAAAAATAAATAACCATTCAACTTATAGTAAAATGAATACAAAAACAGACTAGTCTTTGTTCAGTTTCAATTACATAGATTATGCTCCATTTTAAAAGAAAGAATCTTTATTAATGGGAGCTAGTTTAGTAATGAAGCAGCCTATTACTATAAAGAACCCTGGCGGAAGATAAATAAGTTTGGAAAATGTTGTTGAATAAGCAAACGAATATAAATATAAGAACCTCCAGTCTATGGTAAAATCAGAGTCATCTGTGAAGAGTAAACTGCTTTATAAATCTCCAACCCTTGATTAATCAGAATATGAATTTTTGGTTGATTGTAGCAAGGTGAAGTAATAGTAAACACAAAATTTTAATAAAGAAAGAAGTACTGAAGACAGCGAAAAAGATGAATATTTTATGAAAAAGTATTCTAGGATTTTAAATAAACCTCCTTTATTAAATAGTCCTAACTTTTAATTTAAGAAAACAAACACTTTAAATACTGAACCAACTTAATACTAAGAAGATATAAAAATTCTTAAAATGACTAAAAAGTAATCAGCTGATTACAATGCTAAATGATACAAAGCATTCCATTCAATTTGAGTGTATTTAATAAAAAAAAATGATAATTTTTTTGAATTTAACATCATTTAAAATAAATAAATAAAATTAATTATAAATTCACACAAATTATAATAAAAAATAACTTTCTATATATTAAAAAATAAAATATTACTTTATAAAAGCAAATATCTATCTTACCTATTTGTATAACATACTTAACTACTACTATTCAAATATCTGAAAGCTGAGAACTTTATTGGTACATAATAACTTATTTAAATTGGAAAATAAATTAAAAAATCACTAATCTCTAATTGAATAAAATGTTCAATAGCGACTGCTTAAAAAGTATGGTATAATGCAAATTTTTAAACAACTTTTTATTTTAATTCAGGTTTTTAACTATTAACTAATATGATTTTTTATAATAATTGTTTTAAAAAGAGTTTATTGAAATTTTATACAAAAGTTTTTTGAGCAATTAGTTTATGCTTAAACTTAAAAAGTAAAATGATTTAGGTAATTTAATAATTTTAAAAATCTTGTAAATAACTATAAAAGTGTTGCCAAAATAAAATAGAAATATATTTTTTGACATTTTTCAAGTTAGATGCTAAATATAAAATGTATATTTTAAATTAATTCTTAATAAAATTTGTTAATAAAGGATTCATAACAATAATAGATCATTAATTGATTTGCCTGCTATAACCCATTTTTGCTTGAACTATATGTGTCTATTGATATATAAATGCTTAGATTTTAGATTTAAACTAGCTCACAAATAAAACATTTTCAGAATATTTTGTTTTAGCTATCAAAAACTTCAATCAGTTTGCTTATCTAATACATGCAAAGGAGCTAATTTTATTTATATTTATAAAAATTAATAAATTTTATATAAATATATTAATTACCTAAAATCAAAGCTTTATTAGTCTCAACGATCTAACCATTCATTACCATTTCTTCAAGAATATAATGTGCCTTTTAAATGTTCAACATTATCTGTTCATTTTAATAATAAATATTTTAATTTATTGTTTGATTTATAGCTTAAGTTAATTAATATCATCTTTTCAACCCTTTTTAAGTTTTTTTTCTCTGCTAAAAAAATATTAAATTGAAATCTTAATCATTACATCTAGTTCGCACTATTTAATTGAGTTTATTTAAAAAAACATTAAACATTTTTACTTACAAATTATTTATAAAATTTCTTACGACATTTTCGAAGTATCTATCTAAGGTTTCTACAAGTGTGTGGATAAATTCAAAATAAGCCAATTCATTCTAATGCAAATTTGTTAAATTAAATCACGAAATCAGCTATAAGATATAAATATTTACTTCTTCTTCAGGATCAAGTCCAACAATAAAATATAACGATGCATATCTTCTGTAAATTACTTTATAATTTCTATGATCAATAAATGAGCATTAAGTATTATTTCTTGAAAGGCACTTTCTTACAAGTTCACCTTCCAAAGTTGTTCTTTCTTACACAGATAAACTATTATAGTATTAAGCTAATCTATTACATTAAAAAAATGAAATATTTATATTTTTTATAACAAATACTACTAATTCAAATATCTAACCTTGTCTATCCTTATTTATTAACCATCAAAATAAATTAAATCATTTTATTCAGCTACTTATTTATATATTTTATTATTAATTGTGTTTATTTGTTTGCTTGCTTGCTACTTTTATTTATATTAAAGATATCAAATACAATAAATTTTGCGATATTTTATTTATAAAGTAATCAATTACCTAATATTCTCTTCATTCAATATCTTTCTAATGATTCAAACACTTTTTGTTCCCGATTAATTATTGTCAAGCAAAAATTAAAAATAAATAGTAAATAATTAAGTGCTATTGATCAATCGATTGATCAAAGACTGATGCAAAAAAAATTTCTTTTTTAAACTCTTTCCTGTCATTTTTTGATGGAATTCAATTTAAAATAAAAGTACAAACAAATTTATCTTGATAAAATTTACTAAAAATAAATTAATTTATTTAAAATTTAATAATTTTAATAATAATTTTACAAAAATTAAATATTTTTAATTATAAATTATTTTTAGATTTTTAACCAAATAAATATTCTAAGTTAATACTTATATAAATATTAAAATAATATTATAGCTAATTATCTAAATTCTTAAATAAATTAAAGTTTAACTGTAGGTTGTTCAAAACTATTTTATTAAAAATTAATTGAAATTTAAAATAATTTCTTTTTGATTAAAAAAGAAAATTTTAAATTATTTTTTTAAAAATAAAATCTTTCCCTTTGAAGTTTTAAATTTTCTTTAAATATTTCTTCAACTTAACATTCATAGATCAATCTTATTTGTCAATTTTTATTTTGGTGATTTCTAAATTTACATATTTTGGATTTTTTATGTTTTAAATAAAATTAACTGTTTTTGATTGAATTAATTTGAGGAGGAATGATTGATTGATAGAATTATAATAATATACTTACGAATTATATAGTAAAATAAATATGGAGTAAATACTTTTAATTTTAGTTTAAAATAATATATTTTATATGTTTTTTAACAAATAAATATATTCAATATCTTATTGCTTTTAGTGAATTGAGACTGAATTCACCATAATTCATTCCTTAATTCCATCTGTCTTTTAGCTTAGTTACATAATAGCACTCCATGTTGGCTACAGTATTAGGATCTACACCTTCTGGAACCCTCATCTCAAAGGATTGATTGGGTGAAAGGAAGTTTACAAAGTTATTACGAGCGATACCAGTTCCAATAGACTTTGGTCCTCTAACAATGCAGTGAGGAGTGGCAACAATGAGTCCTCCTGAAACAATTTAAGCTACCTCTCCAGATTAAAAGGCTAAACAGTCCTTTGGAATTTTTACTCTAACTTTCTCTGAGTTACGGCTTTTGACAAAGAGACCACCTTCAGGATCATAGAAATCTTCAACAACTTCTCCGTTTTTATTTGTGTACATAGATGCAGCCAAGCCTGTTAAAACACTAAAATCATTATGCCATCCACACCAGTCATCTTCAATCAATTTCTATTCATCACTAGCGAAATAATGCAAGAATCTACCTACATGCTAATTTCCATTTTTTATAATTCCTTCCATTTATCCCATTTCATAATTAGGGATGACACTTTTTACATATTTATCAATATGATAGGCTAAGAGGGCACCAACTTCACTCATCAATCTGCCTAGATCTTTAAAAGATTACTCAAAAGCAGGGATATCCTCTGTAGGCCAAATATTTCTTTGGATAACTCCACCTTTTTCAGCAAGGTTTTCATCAAGCTAGACTATAGGAGTATCATTCAGAGGGAAACCATAGAAGGAACCTTTAGAAGTGTCGACACGACCACGGAATTACTCTTTACCATGACTCCATCCTGAGGAATAAAATAATTCTGGACGAGTAAGTTTGTCTAACTTTTCTTGAGGGAGATTAGCAAGTTAGTGACCAAGAGGTAAAAGATTGCTGCGGTATTCAGTGTATTTAGGAACATTTTTGACTATGCATAGACCTACACCTTCAGGACCATAAGCTTACTTGATTTTATCATGCAAAACATTGTCTCTGTTTGCAATTTCTTCATATTCAAAAATAACAGGTTAATACATTTCTATCAGTAAAAAGCAAAGTATTTATCTATCTATATATCTATCTGTTTATTAACTTTCGATATTTATTCTTACAAAAAAGGTGAAAAAAATAAATAAATTTTTTTAAAATAAAAAAAATTATCAACAAAAATTGAGGATTTTCTCAGTTTTTTAAAGCTAATAATGTTGCATATTAAGCCACAAAAATTCTTCTAAATTATTGAAATAGACCCCCATTCTAATCTGTTTAAGATTTAGTTTTAACTTAACGTGGTAATTTATTTCAATGTTACATATAATACATAATAATATTTCAGGTTAAGGCAAGTTAAATAGTAAAATTAAAAATAAAATAAAATACACTAAAGCTGTAGCTTGCTTGAAACGAAACTTAAAATTTTGGGGGTCTTCCTAAAAAAAATAAACAATTTCAACATTTTATTTGTTTTATAATTTTTTAAAATTCATGGAGTTTTTTATTTTTTTACAAAATTTAATTAGAAAATGTTTATTATTTTACTTTTAATATAAATTAATTAATTAATTAAAACAAAGTCAATACTTGTCTAAGTAAAAATAGCTTATTTTAATGATATATCATAATAAATTAAAAGTTTTTGATTAAATTTAATCTAAGCTGTAATCTAAAATATTAAAAGTTTTAAATAAGATAAGTCATACACCTACATTTATTAAGCTTTTTGTTAATTCTTTATTTATTGTTGATTTTATTTTGATAAAAGCATGCTAAAAGATGCTACTATTTAAAGAATGCATTTATTTGATTTAATTGGGGGACTTTGAGGCTTTAAAATATTATCTAAGTTACTTTGTAATTGAATTAAGGATTAATTAATTAAATTATTGTTTGATTAAAGCTGAGTCATTCATTTAATTACACTTAATATTTGATTGCCCCCCTCCGAGATTAATATAACTATGAATTAAATTGAAGTTAAGTAAATTATTATAAATCATACCAATCACATCATCTAAATAAAGCAGTAACAATATAATGACATTATTTGTGTTATCAGAAGTCATAAATTTCTAGTTAATCTTTAATAATATCACTTAATTTTTAATTCACTCAAAGAATATTTAAATAACCTTTTTCTATTAATGACTGAGAACAGGTGCTTTCAACTTAAGTATATATTAACAATTAATCATAAAAAAAATAATTAATTTTCCTTTAATATATTTTAATACTACTTTAGTGAAAATAAATAGATAAAAGCCATAAATTATATATTTTTTGTTAAGTTTTACTATATAAATATCTAAATTTCAGATAAGGTGGGAGAGTTTTTAAAACAGACTTAAATAAATAAAATCTTTTCTAAAATGATCTTGATATTGAATGATAAAATAGTTAAAGAACAAATAAAGAAGTTAGAAATAAAATACAATAATATCTATTAATATAAATCTTAATAAATTTTTAGTTTTAGTTTTATATAATTGATGCATTAAATTAATCTGTCATCTATGAAGGTGAGTGAGTAAGTTTAAGCAAAAACATAAATTGATAAGTTATATGAGCTATTAATTGAAAAATGGTTCTTTTTTTATTTGGTTATTAATTAATTATTTATTTAATTTATAATAATTAACATTCATTTTATGGTAAATAGGATATTAATTAAATACTATTCTTTTAAACGAAAAATTCATTCTCTTATTTATATAATCAATCATGAATTATCTATCATTTGATTCATCCATTCATCTTCCATCTTTCTTTCTTTCAATTAATTTTTGCTTATTCTAACTTTACATATACAATCAAAGTGTAACTATCAATTAATAAAATATAAGATTAATTAAAATTTATAAAAAATAATTTAATGAGTGAGTGATTGGAATGTTTGTTTCTTCTTTCTAAAAAAAATTAAATTAAAAATAATTTACTATTTTTGTTATTGTTGTTGTTATTATTAAGTTTATCATGATGATCAGAACTGTTATTTGTATCATTACTATTATTATTACTATTTGGTTTACTATTTTGGCTAAAATTATTAATTAGTACATCATCTTGGTAGTCTTCATATCTTGAAATTGTACCCTAAATGTCTAATTTATTTTCTTCGTTTAACATTTAAAATATTTCCTCTCTCTAATCATAGGATATGTAACCTATTATAATTTTAAATAAAATTTTATTTAAACTCAATAATTGTTTTTTAATATATTTAATAATAGTATTTATCCATTTCATATACTGCTATTAATATTTATAGGAATACATTTCTAGTTAATTGGAGTTGAGTTTATTCTACTAATTAAAATTACTTATTCCAAAAAAATTTTTTAACTCTAATCTAAAAAGGGGTTATTTATTTTAAATATCAAATATTCAATTAGAAAAATTTTAAAACCTTTGATTATCGATTAATAAAAATATTATTTGTGAATGAATTATTATTTTTTTAATCATTTTTATCAACTGGTTTAAATTGTAATAAATTAGTTTTACCTGTAAGATTTTGCCTTACAGCATATATAAAGCTTGTGGTTTCTAATGTTGGGATTATGAATCCAAGTATATCTTTTCTAATTACATATATTTATAGGGCTCCAACCAAAACAGCTGAAATAAAATCACTAATTTATCTTGTAAAGATATATTGAAGAATAAGTAAGAGAAGGAGATAAAATTTCTATCTGATTTAGAAGGGAGTGAATAAAATCCTATTTTAATTTTAAAAAATATTTATATCAGAGAAAATATAAATGGATGATTAGTAATTTATAATTTATATTACAGACAAGGCTTGTTGCTATCTTTGAGAGTTTTAAGAGTCAATAGATAAATACAGAAAGGAAATAGACCTATTTGATTGATATTAATACAAGGATTTTGTCTATTTTTATTCAAATTTTCAAAATAATTATTACCATAGAATTTGGGATCTACTTTATCCGAAGTAAATAATGGTGAAAGAGTTGAAGCTATAACTAAGAATACAATCTATATTAAAATACCTTTTTATATTTTTGTAAAATAAATAAATAATTTATTTAATTTATTTGATTTGAAGCGTTTATTCAGGGAGATTTCTTTTGAAAAACGCGAATTTAATCTAATTGAAATTAAGAAGTACATACATTTAATAAAGAAGTCAAGCAAGTAAGACAATGAACCCTTGGCTTTTTCGAGAGAAAATGATTATTCATAAAAGAAGAAGCAGTTGACTATTATCTATTATATTATATTTTAATTTATTGTTTATTTAAATGCCATGCTAAGCTTATGATATTCGTTTATATTTAAACATTTTAAAAGCTATTTAAAAATTATTACGCTCAAATATCTTGTTGTTATCATAGGACTAATTAGAAATGTATATACTAATATTTATAAAATAAATAATTTATCATCATATTGATTAAAAATCTATTAAAATTCGTTATTATTAAAGCGGAAATGTTGCTTTCATAGTTAATAAACCAAAAAGCAAATTGGGTGATGTGTATTAATGCTTAATAAATAATTTTGTACATTTATAATTTGAAATCGTCTACTCAGGAGAAGTCGCAAATATTTTGATAAAATCAACATCAAAATATATTACAAGTCTCTATACTAAAAACAGTGCAATGCTAAGCTTCAAAATTAACCTAATTTATTTTATCAAAAGTATTTATTTGAATCTTATTTTAAAAAATGGATTTGAATTAATTAGTTTAAATGGAGTTTTGATTTTGCATCAAACAAAGACTCCTAATTTTCCTTAAAATCCAATTTACTTAGTTGACAAAGGCGTTTAAATATAAAGTCTGAGGAGATAATCTCTAATATTTTGGGATTATACCTCTTGCTATTATTCTTATCTTTAATTGATTGGTAACATTTCTGTTTCTTTTAAGTGGTCTTAAAGTGATAATCACTATTATATTTATTTATTTTGTTATCCTCTACTTATTTATGCTTAGTCAATATTTTATTGGATATCAAAAATATAAGAAATTATTAAATTACTTTGATTAGCAGCTATTCAACCTAAATAAGATCTAGTTTTTTATAACAATTATTGTATTTAAATTTTATATTAATAGTAATAACTTCAGCAAACATAATATCATTTAAGGAGGGAGGACTACTTTACTTTTTTACTATTAATTAAACTATGTCAAATATATTCATTGATAATTATTTCAAGAGATTTCCTTTCTTTTATTCATTTTGCAATATTTTAAAATTAATATTATCAAAATTTGTCCAAATGTTGACTTTTACTTCTTATGTAATTTATAATTACTGTCAAAATAAATAATAATAATATATTATATAGAAACTTGTATTATAATTGGCATTTATTCTATTTTTAGCTACAAAATTAACAAAATAAATAATTAAAAAAATAGATTTTATTTATTTTTATAATTTTCCACAACTTATACTTCTCAATCTTTTTATTTGTTTAGTTTGATAAAATAGATTTTCTTTGATTTAATATCTTAATTATTTAAAATAGCAAAAAAAAATTTTAGATTATTTTACTTTCTTTTTTTTAATAAATAATAAAATGAAAATATATATTAATTGAAATTTAAAATGTAAGATCCAAAAAAGTCTTATGTTAAATTAGAATGATAAATATAATTTATCTTAAATTAGAATTCTTTACTCTATATTATTAATAAAATCAACTCCATGGGTTTGTTCAGGAAAATAATTTAAATGTATAAAAAAAGTAAGTTTTAATAAATAAGTAAAGAAATTTCATTTTAATTATATAAATTACTATGTTTGCTAATTTAAAAACTTTTTATACACTGAACTAAAAATTAATGAAATTATTATTTGTGTTTTAGTAAAAATAATTCAATAAATTACAAATTTTTTTGTAAATTTAACAACAATAAGCATGATATTTTTTAACTTTTAAATAAAAAAAATGTCTTAAAATCTTAATTCAAGTTTACTAAAATAAATAAAATTCATCTTCAATTGTTATTTTTATTTAAAAAATTAAAAAAAGAGCTAAAATCTTCCAATAAAACTAAATATTTTCCATATTAAAAACTAAAAAAGAGAAAAGCATTTTTATTCGTTTTATTTATTTATATTTTATAATTTTAAATTGATTTATCATTTGATAATTTAACTAAATAATCATTTTTAAAATATTTAAAATAAATGTATCAATCAATTGTTGATAACATTTTAAATTTAATAACAAAATATGTATAAAGAGATTATTTTAAAACATATGACTAAAGCATTTAATGTACTGAACCAAAATTTTATTGATTGATTTATTAATTAATTGGTTTTTTGCTAGTTAGGCAAAATAAAATTTATTTCAAATTAATTAAAAACTGAAGTTGTTAATTAACAAATAACTTTTTATTTATAGATTCTTAATGCTTTTTATCTTAATTAAGTCAGCGATAAAAGGAAATAACATAGATATTGATTTATTGATATTGCCTTTATTCTGAATTAATTTAAATTTCTATCTATTTGCTATATAATTATTATAGATTTGTCATCTTCTATATTTCTATTAGCAGTTTTTTAATTAATCAATAAGAAAAACTATTTACTTTGTTATATATAAAAAAAGCAATTTTTATCACATAAATAATAAAAAATTATTTATTTATTGAAATCAATTAAAAAAATACAAAGCTTCATAAAAAAGAAACTTATTAGCAAAAATGGCCAAATACGTTCCCCCTATTTCCTAATCAAATGTTCAAGTTGTTCCATAGGTATAACCTGTGATCTATCAATCAGTTGTACCCGTTTAAGTTTAGCCCCTTTACTAATCCTACGTCAGTTATCCTACTTACTCCTACGTTAAGCAATAGCCATAAGTCTAAACCGCTCAAATTCCTGCTGTAATTAAAAATATTTTTTTGAATTTCAATTTCTAATATAAAAATAAATGGAAATTAATGATATTATTTAACTAATTATGCAGTAATAGTAACAATATTAATCAGTTGGATCTACTTAACCTTCCGTCGCTTATCAAGCAGCTGAAAGCTAAATAAAGGCTCCTCTTAGAGGTTCTTCCAGAATTGAATATATTCCTTATTAAAGAAAGGTCATTGACTATGAATAATAGGTATAAACTCAAATTGTTCCTAAGGAAAGATATGGTAATTATACTTTTTATTGCTAACTTAGATATTTTCATGCATTTTTCTACTCTTTCACATGGCTTAATGTGCTTAAAAAAAAGAATCATGCAAAAGTTTATCAAAAGCAACATTTTATGGAAATTAAATAAGATGAACAAAAATATATTTTAAAAGTAGGAAACTACTAACAATCCAATTACTATGGAAAACATCTGTTAATATTCTACAAATAAATATTATATTTTTTTCATTTGTGTTTAAATTATTGAAAAAATTTCAACCCATTTGCTATTTAATAGCTAATATTTATTAAAATTAATTAGTAACTGATTATTATGCTGTTGAACATACTACTAACTACGTTCCTTAAACTTACTACGACTCTTACGTTGATTACGTTCCTGTAACAAGATACAAAGAAAGAACTGAGTAATTTAATATTATTTTTTTGCATAATTAAATAAATTTATATTAATAAATATAGATATTATCCAGTTGAAAGTAGCAGAACTGTCATTAACCGTCTTTGAAAGAATAGTAAATTTGCAAAATAAGTTAAAAGCAGAAGGATTTAATAAGACTCTCTTTAAAAACAACTGGCAAAAATATAAATATTTTGTTAACTTGTGAGAATAATTTATAATATATAAAAATCAATCAACAAAAATGTATAAATATTATCATCATTTTCCATTAAGTATTAACTAACTAACTAAATAACTTACTTATATTTGAAATTATCAAATTATTTTATTTATAAAAGTAATGAAACTTAAAATAATTAAATTTAAAAGTATTTATACTCAATTAATTAATAAATAAATAATTACCATAATTCTTCAATAACATAAAAATAAAAAAATTAAAATATATTGAATTCTATTGATTTTTTTAAGAACCCCTTTTTCCAAAATTTAACTTTATAGAAGGGGATCTTGAAGGAGACATTTTGTAGTTAATATATAAACACACAAATTTGATTAAATTAAAACTTATCTTTCAAAGAATAGCATATAAATTTTGTAGAAAATAACATTTTAAAACAAATAATTTTATAAAATTTTATTAAAATATTTAATTACTTTTTAATCAATAAGCTGATTTAGATTTATCACTTATTAGTTTAGTTTTTAGTAATATAATAAATATAATTTATCTTTTGAAATGTTTAAAATGTTTTAAAGTTTGCTTTGTTTTATCTGCTTTCAACTCAAGCATTTTTCACTTTAGAGGTGAAGGTTATCTACTTATAAAAATTTATTTAAAAGGCTAAGTATTTTTTTAGCTTAATTCTTATGAAGCTTATTAAGGATTTTGTTTATCGATTATTTTGAATGTGGTTGATAATTAGAATTTTTTAATTTTCATATTTTATGGTAAATTGGATTTATAAATATGTTCTGCCATATTTTTTAATATTAAGTTAGGACTGCCTTAATCGAGAGAAAAGTTCTTCTTTGAATGTATACTATTTATATTGAAAGCTAGTTTTTCTTCTTATTATTATTAAGGTTTAGCAGTAATCGAAATTTATTTAGTTCTTTTTGAAATATTGTCTGTAGTTGAATATTGTTATGTGATAAACTAAAGATCTTAAGTATTTTCCATTTTTTTATTTAATCCGCTTTCTTAAGAGAAATATATTGAACTAAAATCTGGGCCTCTACTTGAGTTCTACATGATATTGAATTTTTGAGCTGATTTTTGTAAATTTTCTTCCAAATTCATGCTATTTAGTCCATTTTTACGATTTTAGTCAAATTTTTATAGAAAATTAGTTTTATTTAAATTTATAGGTGGCAAAGCTTTAATTTCTTCCAAAAGATTCTAATGTCTATTTGTTAATGGTGAATTATATTCAGGTTTTAAAAATTTGAATAATTCAGTTGGAGATTTTTAAGTTTTAGGAGTGTTATTCATAAAAGACTTTTATATAGGACTAGGGCAAACTAAACTGTTTTTTATATTTCCATTATTTTTAATATGCTACAAAGCACTTTTGAGATAAATTTTTTCATTCTAATCTATTTCATTTAAATTAAGTTTTGGTATTTTAAAACTTTTTTTATCACTTGTGGCTGTTTCACTATATATTAGTGGAGAATTTTATTACTTTTAACACATAGCAAACGAAGATTGAGATCTTTCATGCCTGGTATGTTAATTAGTTTCTTAATTCTTTAAATCTTCTATTAACCTTGAACTTTAGCTAAGAGGTTTTAAATTTGGGCTATTTTTTTCAATTATTTAATCTTTAAAGTATCTCGATGTAACACTTATTGCTCTAGGACTCAGCCTTTAATCTTCAATTATTTTATCATAAAATCTAGACTTTGAAGTCTCATTCAAAATAGATTTTTAATAATTTGCTTTATTTAAGAAATCAAATGTGTTCCTATTTTTTAATTTTTTATTCAATTTTTAATTTGGCAATTTTAAATAAATTAAAAGGAATTCAATCATTTTTTTTAATATTTCTTAGAAATCAAATTAAAAAAAGTTAAAAAATCAGTTTTAAAGTTATAAGAAAATTGTTTTAAGACTAAATTTCATTTTACCTTCTTTGTGTTATTGCATCATCTGATTGTTCATAGATATTACTAGCTTAACTTAATTGCCTTTTAATTTTTAAAAAGCGTTAATTTAATTCTTAAGGGTTGATATTGTGCCTTTTAGAAAATTCCTTTAAAATCTCATCTTCAAAAACACTCACTTTTTAAGAACGGGGAAGCTTTTTCTTTTTTAAGTTCTCTTCATACAGGAGAGTGGATCTTGTTTCTTTGCTGCTTATTTTTTCATTTTTAATTTCCATCATTTTCTAGTACCTATTTTTGTCAATTTCTTTAACTTATAGAGTTTGTAAATCTTTATTCTTATCTTGAATAAAGACATCATCTTTTCTAACCTTTGGATTTTTTAGTAAATGCTAGTTTGAAGATATTTTAGAAGAATAAATCAAATAATTGTGCTCATCTTGTTTAAAAATGTCTTCTGCTAAATCGCAGTTTTAAGCTACTGTGACAGTCTTTGATAAATTTTATTGCCTTATTTGTTTATTGAACTTTAACAAAAGAACAGGTTTTGAGTTAGATTTTTCTTATAAAGAATTTTAAGAAATAGAGTTTCTAGAATCAAATGAATTTGATTCATCATTTTACTACAAATAAGAGGAGACTTAGTTTAATCTAAATTCTCTCGCTTTTTCCTTGTTTTGAATTTATGTAATCATAGCCTTCTATATATTAGGATGCTGTGGCAGTAGCCTTGTGATAAGCTTTTTAGGAATAGTATATATTACACCTTTTTCACTATTACAGACTACTCTATAAACTCTATAATACTCAACACCTCTTTTCTTAAATATTTCTTCTTCTCCAAAGCTCTCTCCCTCTCCAAGAATTTTAAACTAAAAAAATTTTCCTCTTTCTAAATTGTTAAATATTTTCTTCTTTTTAGTATTAGGGTCATCAACTGCACTGTTATCTTAAAAATAAAAGGTTATTTTTATTAAATATATTAGGTGATTGTTTAGATACTGAAGGTGAATTATTTATATTATTACAATTAAATTACTCTCGGCTAAACTACATGAGTCATAATAGAAAATTTATAAATAATATATTAATGGCGTTATTAAATTATAATTATCCTTATGGATTAGTTTAAATTATTAAGTATATTATTGATATTTATTAGTGTATGAATATATATATATATTTTTTTTAAATGTATGTCATTTATGGGATAACTTAAGTTATAAAAAATATAAATTAAATTAGCATAAGCTTTAGCCATTTATTAATTAATTCATTTATTAGAAATTTATGGTTTAAATTGTTTAATATCTATACTTTTTAAAATTAATTTTATTTTAAAAATTGTCAATTTTTTCATAAAAATTAGTAAAAATTAACTTTGGGTTTAAAAATTAAATTTAAAAAATATATTTTAGTAAAATTCAGAGGAAATTCTAACTTTTAAAAGTTAGTTGCTTTTTTTAAACTAAAATATTCAAATTTTAAGATTAAGTGAAGTTATTTTTATCAATTAAGGTCACTTTATTTAATACATTTTTGATCAAGCAAACTTTGTCTTGATTTTTAGAAAAAAAGAAATGGAAAAACTTACTTTGAGACTATTTCTTAACTTCTTTGAATTAGTTATTGAAGCTTTTTTCAATGTAAATAGAGAATTCTCCTTCTTTAATAAAATAAAAGTTGTCAGGTATGTCGCCGACGTCGTAAATAATAGAATTTTTCTCAACTTTTTATTCATCACTAATATCATAGAATTGTTTTATCACTTCATAAGGATATCCTGATAGAATACTCATTTTAGAGAAACTTTCAATGAAAGAAGCACTATTTTTTATTTTTTCTAATATATCTATAATTTTGTCTCCTTTTATAAAGCCAAAGAATGTATCCACTGTAGTTTAAACACTTGCTTGTCTTCTATTACTTTTATTTGGATCTAAGGCAAATTCACCAAAGCAGTTACCCTAACCTAGTCTGACTAGCTCAATTTCTTGTAGCTACATTTCTTCATTCGCATTTTCTTACTGTTTTCCAGCTTATTTTTAAGAGTTTTCTTAATCATTGCCTATTTTGCATTAAAATTTAAAAAATAAAAGCAAATATTACTTGAACTTATTTACTCTGCTGTTCTTCCACTTTTTGATATGATGATTTGTAAATTCTAACCTCTCCCTTTATTATAATCCAGAATGTATCTCCCCTGTCTCCTTAGTTAAATAAAACCTTTTTTCATTCATAGTTTTAGAAATTCTTTAAATGTTGTATACAATAATATTTTTACTTAGTCTTTTGAAAGGAAGAATCCTTGCATATATTTGCAAAGCTTAAAGCATGTTTCATCTGCATCAGTTGCTGATGACTTAATATCCCTAAAAAATCTGATATCTGAAACAATATGAGTAAGAATGTGGACTTCTAAATTACTTCTTTCTTCACACTCCTTATCCAAAATTGTCATCATTAAGTCAAGTTAATCTTATTTAGATATTCGCTCAACCAAAGCATTTCCTTGCTATTGAAATTTAGAAATGTATTAATAGCTCTTTTACCTAATAGCTTCATTAAGCAATGGATTTCTTTTTTACTCTAAATTTCTTTGCTTTTTTTACTTCATTTTATGTATAAATTTAAAACTTAATATACTTGAAATAAGTAGAACCAGCCAGCAATTTTATTTAATCAATTAATTAATTAATTATTCTGTGGATTATTCTTATCCTCCTCTAAAATAAGTAAAAATTCTTATAGCTTGTTATTCCTACTTACTTCTTAATTTTAGTGCCTTTCTAAAAACTTTACTTAACCATAAAATTTGTTAATTTTTTGTTTCTTTTCTTAATTTCATTATTATTCTTAAAAATTTCTTTTAAGCAAGCTCAATAAATCTAATTCCACCAAAATAAAAAGCATATTAAAAAACTAACATAAATGTACCATTTTACCTTCATTAAACAAAAATAACTTTTAATTTTTAAAATTTTCTAATTGAAAAATAATTTTTTAAATTATTAAAAAATCAATTTTATTATTTTGTAAATCTTTATTTAGTTATATTAATTAAAGAGTTTCTGCTTTAATTGAAATTTTTGTTTAAAGAGATCTGATAAAATAAATTAATAAGAAGTATTTCTTAATAGTATATTAATTTACTCATCAAAAATCTAATTAAATACACAATACATAAACAATGGTTTAATTGTTTAATCCAGGAGTTTTGGAAGACGAAGATATAAAATTATAGCTAAACTAAACTGATTTACTTGAGAAATAAGTTCCCTGTTATTTTTTTGATATAATTTGTAAAAAAGATAACCAAAAAGCAGGGTCTATTTGCTTGAGAACAAAATTTACATACGAAGAAGAATTCCTTTGGGGTAATATGGGATTTGTAGTAGAAAAATAGTATCAAGGCAAAAGATTTGCTTTCAAGGCTTCAAAACTATTAATTAACTTTGCTCGAAGATGTGGGATGAAATAAATTTACTTCACTGTCGACCCAACGAATATACCTTCAATAAAAACAATAACAAATCTAGGAGCTTACTATCTTGAGACAATAGATGTCCCTAAAGATTCAACATTATATAATGAAGAAAAATGCTAATATTGCAGCAGATTCTGCTTATACATTTGAATTTAATAAGAAAAATATATTTTATAGATAAAAAATAGTTAGTATTGTACATAAATTGTAAATATATCTAAAATATTTAGCTAAAAATAATCATCTACCTCATTATTATTAGTGTTGCAAACCTATTAGAAAAGAATTCAGTAGATTCTTTTAATAAATATCAATAATAAATAAAACATTCTAATTAACCTAAAATAATATTTTTAATTACTAATAAATTAATATTTTCATATAAAATTAATATATTATTTTTTGTATTTTATCACTTCAAGTTCATTTATATAGCAAGTTTTGTTTAACTTAGCAAAATATTTTTATTTTAAAAAACTTAATACAAAGACTAGCTAGCATTCTATTAAATTAAATTAGTTATTTATTTTGATCAATACTGTATACTCTCTAATTAAGCATAACCTTTGTAAAATGAGCGTGCAAATGATATAGATTAACATTTAGATTTAGAAAATAAGAATCATTAATTACATCTCTTAGAGAGTCTAGGGAATTTAAAATAGATTAAATACACTAAAGTATATTTATTGTATTAATGAAATGTATGAATTATTGATTGATTAAGAATAAATTTTAAATAATTATGAATTAAAATTTGAATTAATATAATTCGTGAAAGTTAATTTGATATATATAGCAGCCATTTTATTAGAAATAAAATAATAACTTTGTTCGTGTGTAAGAATATATACCTAAAAAATAAATTTTCTTTTAAAAGAATTGATTAGTATTAATTAAAAACTAAATCTGAATAATTTTGACAATTTGAATCTACAATAATTTTGAAGATCATATCAATATTTTAATTTAGGCTATTATTATATCATGCGTCTCTATCAATTTTCCATAAAAGGTCTTTAATTAATTTTCATTAATTTATGATTTTAATCCATGTAATTATTAAAATCAAATACAATTAAAATAAAAACTTATTACTCTCACAAATTAAAAACTGAAATGGTTGCTATTTATAATCCTGGAAACATGGAGGATGAAGATATTCTAGTTATATATGACCAAGTTGAGTTATTGCAAAATTAAGTGCCTTGCTATCATTTTTATATAGTATGCAAGCAAGATATGAATATAGCTGGACATATCTCTTTGAGAACTAAAACCTCATATGAAGAAGAATATCTTTGGGGTAATATGGGTTACACAGTAAACCCAAAATACCAAGGAAGAAGATATGCCTATAAGGCTTCAAAGTTGGTGATTGGATTTGCCAGAAAATGCAAGATGAACTAAATATATATGACAGTAGATCCCACTAACATAGCTTCAATAAAAACAATCTTAAATTTAGGAGGCTATTACTTAGAAACTATAGAGGTACCTAAGGATTCTTCTCTTTACTAAGTAGAGTAATGTGATATTAGCTGCAGATATTGTGTATACATATGAATACCTCTTTGAAAAATAAATTAAATTTCTCAAAATTTTTAATAATAACATCTATTAATTAATAAAAAATCATTTAATAAAAGTTCTATCAAATAATATAAGCAATATGCAATAAAAAAAATAATTAATTTATTATATCTACTCTCTCTCTCTATAAAAAAATAGTAATTTACTTATATCTATCTATATTAGTTAAAAATTCATTAGAAATTTTATTGGATTTATGATAAAGAATTATTTATAAAAGAATCAAAATTAAAAAAACTTAGTCTTCATCAAATTAATATTATTTATTAGCTTTTCTATTTTAAAATATAACTAAATATCTTTAAAAAAATTTTTGATTGAAATTGAATTTATTTTATAAATAAATAAATTAAAGTAGTTTCTTCATATTATACCATACCAATCTGTCTGTACATATATTTCCAAAAAAATTATGATAATTTGGTTCAAAAATTCTATAATAAAATTTATTTATAAAAAAATATTTTCAATACTATTCAATTCAACTTTTATAATTATTGAAAATGATTTATCAAAATAATATTAATAATTAATTTGAATATATCAATCAGTTTTGCGCGATAATTAGAATTCCTCAAAGTTTGAAAAATTCATTAATTAATAAAATAGCTCATCTATCTTCAAAATTAAAGTTTTTAGAGGAGGTAAAATATTCAGTAAAAATTATATTATATTTTAATTTAATTTATTTAATAAAAAGAAGGATATTTATTTTAAATATCAAAGAAGTCTTTTATGAGAGAGTATGTAGTAAATATAAATTATAATATCATGATTTATTAGATGCATTTAATTTTGAATAAAATATTTTGATAATATTCTTCAAAATAAATACAGAAATAAACAACGATTTTGACAAAAAAAATAATGAATTTTATAACCCCTATTTAAAATATTCTATTAATATTAATGCTACAATATATTTATTTAAAAATTAATATAATTTTATTTTGCTTATATAATGGTATCTATATAGATCATGAATTTTATTCAAAAAATTAATGATTGCTACTATTATTGCTAGTGAAATTATTATTGGAGAGTTTTTGTCTATCTTACAAATGAATACCTGAAGATTGTAATATTCCAAGTGCTTATAATTAAGGCATATTCTTTTTTATCTTACCTTATGTGATTTTGTGATGGTCTTTGTTTTGAACTATCAAATTTAGCTTATACTTCAATGGCAACATATTTACATCTAGATTTTTTTTAATTTACTGCTTGGTTTTTACTTCTTTAGAAGGAGTAGAGAAATAGTTTGTATAAGTTTGGTTTTCAATTTTTTTTTAAGAATTAACATTTTAAGGTTCTGATTTTTTTTAAGGTGTTTAGATGGGAATTCTAAATATATTAAATTTATCTTTCTCTGTCTTCTCACTATCTTAGTATATTTATTTAGGATATTTATTCAGAGCTGAACTGCTTAATTCAGTTCTAGAAGATGATTAAATATAATTTTCTTAACTATGAAATGGGTTATTGTTATTATTTGTATTTAGATGTTTTGATAATTTCAAATTCGTTAATATGCTGCTTATAGATCCGCTATTTTATTTTTAAAGGCTTTTTGAGTGCAAAGTGGCAGTAGGAATCTCGTTTTTTTATTTATCTATAAAATCTTAGTGGACTTTTAATACAAGCGGATTGTAATATTTGGTACTTTATAAAGAGCTGCTTGGCTTTATCAAACCAGAGAAATTACCATATGAAGAGCTAAACATCCTCCCATTAGGAGAATTTTATTCAAATTATGCTTTTTAGGAGTAAAATGTATTTTTAAAAGTGTTTATTAACAAATTTTAACTTTGCTATTCGGATTAGTGGTCTTTGTAATTTCTTTATAAAGCTTGGCTAAGGTTAGACATTTTTTAATTATAAGAAAACTGTTTCTTAATGCCTTCTTTATGATTGAACATTTCAGATTAACTAAGCGGATTTGTGTCTTAGCTTAAGCGTCTTTTATGTTCTTTTTCTCTATCTGTTAATTACTCTGCTACTGATCCAGCATAAGATAAGCTGATCTTTTATGAATTTAAATTAAGTTTAGGAGTTTAAATTTTATCAGAGTTAACATTAATAATATCTGAAACTCTCCTTTAACAATCAATATCTGATTAAAAAGATTTTTTTTATTACTTATTCCTTCTTTAAGACATGCTGCTTTACTCAGTATTTTTCAATTAACCATTTAGTTTATTTAAAACAGGTTAGTCATGCAAGTTAGCAATATATTCTTTAAAGCTAGAGATCGTTTAAGGGTTGAATTAAGACATAGCGTTTTATGTTAGAGGTAAATCGTGTTTTGAATTATTTAAAGGAGAATTTACTATTATCGCCTAAGTAGAAGAATCGTATGATTATTGCTATTTGCGCAAGTAGCTGAATAAATTTTGTTGCTGATCTTTTTTTAATTCATTCATTCTAACCAAAAAGTGATTTCCATTTTCTAAATTACTTTTTAAAGCATTAAAAAAAATTTAGCTAAATTTTTAAATCAGTTTTTTATATAAAATAAACTTTTAATTGAAACAAAATACAAAAGAAGATTTGTTTGTTAATGTTGAGAATTAAAAAATTTAAATAAAATTTTTTAATAAAAATATATTTTGATAAATCTTTTTAAACTTTTATTATTGAAAAAATTTTTGAAATTCAAATATTTCATTTTAAAATGAAGGATAAAATTATGCATTTAAATTAAAAATATTAACTAAAAAATGAATTTTTGATTATTAAGTTAGTTTTTATTAATAAAATTGATAATGAAAACTTAATAAGATTGAATAAAATTTATCTTAAAAAGAGTTAAATTTTGGCTAAAAAAGAATAATGAAAGCTTAAGATTACTTTTTAAATTGATTGAAAATAAATTTTTAATTTTAAATAATTCCAAGAAAATTTAAAAAATGAGATAGATTATTATTTTACCTTCTGTTTGTTTAAGAACCATCTAAAATATGATCTTAGATTTACTTGGATTTTTTAAAAGAGCTGGTTAGATCTTTTTAATACAGGTCCTGCTCTGGAATGTTATACTTCTCGTAGAATTGCTTGAGATATTCTTGTTAAAGAATTATAATTCCTTATGATTTACGAACAGTACCCATGTATGATTTTTTGTTGTTGTATGAAGTTGATTGCTAAAGAATCTGCATTGTATTTCTTTCTACAGGCTTTCCTGCGATTTTCTAGGAATTAGATCCAGTGTTGTTTTCATTGCCAGACTAATAAACTTCCTCTATGACAAGATTATCAGTTTAACCTTTTCTTATAGATTTTGTATATTCTTCAACAATTGGAGAAGACTGGCCATTTGATGAGCTGGTTAGGCTACTACTATTCATTTATGAGCTCTATTATTACTAAACTAATTATTATTACTATTAGCTATTAGCCTATTGAGTTTAATAGAGGGTAGATGAAAGCGATTTAAAGTTTAATCTCTGTGGTTTTATGAAGCAGTGTTCTTTTTCATCAAAATCCTCAACTAAATCACAGTTCCTAACTACTCTGATAATATTTGATTATATTTCAAAGATTTTAGCATGACTGTTGTGTGTATCACTGAATTTTTATAATTAATTAGTCCTTTATTCTCTTTTCACTTGAAGCTAACTTGCAAATATCTTATATATGATATCGTCGTTATAAAATTTTTTTAAGAAATCTTTTTTATTAAAGCAATACAAACTGCCACTATCAGAAGTACAAATGACTGTTGTGACTCTTTTGTATTCTCTATTTTTTTTTAATATTAATTCTTCCTCACCAAAGCACTAGCCTATGCTCATTATTTTTAATGTGATAAATTAATCAGATTTCATATGGTCTGTTAATGGATTCAGCTTTTTAGATTTTACTTTTTTATTTTTGTATAGCATTAACTCTCCTAAAATTACATCTTCAGATATCTATAAATGTTGCTCGCTAGCTTTTTCAAGTTGTTGCTTACTTAATTAATTTTACAATTTAGATTTTTTACTCGAATCTTAACTTTGGGGATCTTATGCAGTTATTAATAAATTTAGCTGTTCATCTTTCTTTCTACTGTTACTGTTGACTTTAATATTATTTCCACTTTGTTTATTCTACTAAACATTTTACTAATTTGTGACACTAAGTTAATCATTGTTTGATTAACATATTTCATACTTATATTCCTCTTTTTTCAATATCTTTTCTGAGAATTCCCCACTTTTTATAAAGTAGACTTCTTCAGGTGTATCACCCTCTGAGTAAACTATATTATTGTGTCTAAATTCTTTTTCATAGCAAATATCATAAAGCTATTTAACTTAGTTATAATTCAATTAATTTAGCAAAGACATGCTTGCAAACTTTTCAATAAACACAGAATTCTAGCTAATAACTTTAATTATCCTTAAAAAATCATCCTTCATCACAACAGCAAACTCTGAATCCATAGTTGTTTAAACAGTAGCTTTTCTTGTCTCTCCTTCACTCACAAGAGCTAATTCACCGAAGCAGTTTCCTGGAGCGAGTCTTACTTTCTCAACAGTTTAAAATTCTCCTTGAATAGGTCCATTATTCTCTTAACTAGATTCTGTAGGTAAACTGTTACTTTACTTTGATTTACTTTCTCTTTCAGAGTTTAATTATTCATTTGAAGATACAGCTAATAAAAATAAATATAAATAAATTATTAATTCTTTTGAGTAAATTAATTTGTGGGATTTATTGAAAATTTTGAAGATCAAATAATTGATTGGTTGAATAGTTTATTTATTTATTAATTAATTAATTATTCTACTTTACTATAATCAACTAACTCAATCAAAAATCAATCATTTTATTTTATATTTATATAAATCTAAAATTTAAAACAAAAAATAATTATTCTACTCTCTACAAATTCTCTTTTCAAGACCTTAACTTCTCCTGTCAAAATAATCCAAAACTCATCCCCATGATCTCCTTGATTAAATAATGTCTTTATTAATTTAAATAATTTATTTTACATCAAATAACAATTTAAAATAATAAAATTGTTTTCAATCTTATTGCAGCAAATGAACATAAAATTGAAAAATTTTATGGAATTATTTTTAAACTATCGAGAGAAAATGTATTCCAATAAAAATCTTTTTTCATGTTTAAAGAATTTCAGTAATGTTTTTTTTTTTACCTTATTAGCTTCAAAACTCCTAGGTATCAAATACTTGCAAAGTTACTCATGTATGCTACTTCCATTTTCACTTAAGCGGACTTCTTTGAAAAACTTGATATTTTCTGTTAGTCGGGCTAAAATTTTAACTTCTTTCTATGTTCTATCCTCTGGCTTTTTTTCTAAAATGACCAACAAGCAACATAGCTTTTATTATTATGTAGCTACTTCTAAATTATAATCATTCTCTAAAAATTTAGAAAGCATTTGCTATCCAATGTTCCTTTTCTCTTGGGTGAGGTAATTAATTTAATTCTTTTACTTCTTTTCATCTTCTTCTTTTTTTCCTTGTTTTCCTTTGTTTACTTTCTGCTAGGAAACCATCTCTTCTATGTCAAAGTAAAATTCTACTTTCTTGTTTTATCTAATTAATTATATCGAATTAATTAATTAAGTGTAAATAAATCAAAAGCGAGTGTTAATGAATAAAATCTTGTTAGCCTCAATAATAAATATATAATCACTTGAAAAAACTCCATATAAAGTCATAAACTGTGCTCGTTCTTAATACAATTACAAACTTCATAACTCCAAAAAATAAATTTGATATTTAATAGAACCTATTTTTTTTTTGAAGCAACAAAGCTTTCTATTGGAGATTTAATAAAAACTAAAAAAAATTAATATATTTAAGCTGTAATAGTAATAAATAATCTTTTTTATTATTACCTATGCTCATCCATAAATTATTTATTCAAAATTGTAATATTCTTTTCTTTTAAACTGATAATTATTATTTTATTTTGTTCTTAAAAAAACATAAATATTTGCTAAAAATAATTATTAGCAGCTAATTAATTAGTCATTGTCCTATGATTTATTTATATAATTAAAAGATTATAAATAACCATCTTTAGGATATAATTTTTATTAATATTATTAATTATTCCATAAATTATATTCTTGATAACAAAAAAATATAAAAAGTGATATATTGATTGATTTATAGATCTATTTATTATTGATTGAGTAGTTTGATTAGTTCAAAATTATTAGCGAGTGAGTTACTGACATAAATTAAAATATGCAAAATAAGTATATAATATATTATTAATTAGATAAATTTATGTACAAAAATTTAAAATTAATTAATTATAAATAATAAATTTGATATTTAAGTTAGTAGTTTATTTATAAATAATTATTATTGTTAAAATGAGTATAGTCTATCAAATATTTTATAAATCATTCATTCATTCGTTCATTACTCAAAAAAGATTGAAAAGTCGTTGGCTCCTGTCTTCTTATATTCATTTATTATTGCCATAATTATCTAATTGTTAACATAAACATAAATTATTAAATTTATTATTTCATGAATTAATTAATTAATTTATTTATTTACTTCTTTAGTAAGTCCTGGAGATAGTTTTTCAATTTTTCTTATGGATCTCCTCATTGTCAGGAAAGCACATTTTGGAGGTATAATGCTATTGCTTTATTTAAGGGGATGATTCATGATAGCTTGATTTTATTAATTATGAGGTTCAGAGAAAGGATTTGGAACAGAATTATGTAATTAAACATTCTTCTTTTCTTAATTTGTATGATTATTAACTTTGTTTAAGTCAATAGACTAGTTATCGATACTAAAATCTGGAATAACGCCTTAGTTTACGATTTTAAATGTTGTTTACATTCTTCTATGCATTGGATTTAAATAAGTATTGTTATTTAAAGAATTAAAAGAGCTATTATTCGAAGATCCTCCATTTTAACTGTTATACATCTTGCTATTGTAACTTTATCTTTATTATTTTTTAGATAGAAAAAAATTTATTTTCAAAAAAAATTATTAAAAATTTTTTTGTTTCTATAATAATCTCAATCTAAATTTAAAAAATATAATTTATGTTTTTGTTTAAAGCTTTAAATCTTAAATAATTGTATTTATTTCAATAGTTTATTAATCTATATTTATATAGCATCCAAATATATTAATAAGAATAAGTAGTATTATTTATTGGCAATTTAAATCTTAATGGTATTATTAATTTTAGAAAAGAGCTCTTTAAGTTGAATAAATTGTTGATATTTAAAAAACAAATTTAATAAATTATTTTAAAATTAATAAAAATAATTATTATTTATAAATGAAATATTCAAATAGTTCTATCTTTAATATTTTTATTTCAATAATTTATTATTCTAGTTTCCAAATATATTTATAAGAGTAAGTAGTATTATTTATTTATTTTTTAGTATTAATTATTATAGAGTTTTGGGTTTTTAAGTTGAATAAATTGTTGATTTTTAAAAAAACAAATTTAATCAATATCAAATATTTTAAAATAATTAATAAAAATAAATAATTATATATTTATAAATGAAATACTCAAATAGTTCAAGCAAATATTAGGGCTTCTTAGCTCTTTATATAAAGTTACTCAGAAGTAAATCTCCTACTGATGCTCTTTCTTCAGGGTTTTTTTCTAAGCACATTTTAAGAAACTCTTAAAATTGTCTTTTATTTTTAGATAAAGTTTTATTAATTTAAGTCGATTAATTTATTTATTTATTTTACGGAGAAAAAGACGAATCTATTTGAGGTTCTTCTTAAACTGTTAAAAATTATGCTTTTTTAGGAGGTAAATTAAAATATGGAGGTTCTCCTTTAGCCATTTCTATAGCTGTTATTCCTATTGACCAAATATCACTTTTTTCATTAAAGTGCTAGTCTATTATGGTCTATTTAAATAAAAAAATTATTACTTTTATTTAAATAAAGCATTATAAATTTATTTTATATTTTAAGCAGATGAGAAAATAATATTTTAATAAAATTTTATTCTTTTAAAAATTTTTAAAATGATTTATGCTACCTCTGGGGATTACCAGTAGGAATAATTTCTACACTGAGATAGTATTTCTGTTAATTTTTTGCTTGTTGAGAAATCACATAATTTTACTATTCCATCACTTTAAAGCATAATATTAGAACCTTTTTATAATTAAATAACATATTATATAAATTAAAGAAAAGTTGAATAAATTTGATAATATATTATTTATAATACGTGCTTTTTATTTATTTAACTTGCTTATTAATTCAATCTTTTATTTTACAAAATAGCTTTTTAAATAGAAAATAATGACATTGAATTTATTATTTACTTTTTATATTTTTGTGTAGCCTGTTGTTTTTATGTAAATACTTCAAGCCCATGAGAGCTTGTTTAATAATAATGCAAATATTTTCTTCTGAAATAGGTCCTATGTTCTGGATCTTTGTAATTAATTTGAAAGAATAACATTAGTCATTTAATTTAAGCAATCATAATATCAATATGAATTACTAAATCATAAACAGAACCTTCACTGAAATACTAGGATATTAAATATAATTTACCATCAGATACAAAATAATCATTCAAACCTGATACAAATTCATCCTAAACTCTACTCTCCTTACTTATTTCCTAAATTATTTGCTAAAGATCCTCTGCAGGCTATTTTTAAAAAGATTATTAAGAGAATAATTTCATATTCTTTATGATTAAAAACAAATTTTCAGTAGAATTTTATAAACTTATGAGAAATTTCAAAATCTTACAATGACATTGTACTCTTTTAAAGCAACGATTTCTGCATTTTACTTATTCATCCTATAATTTAATAAATTGTATTGCTTTCTTGGTAAAATCTCATTTTTCTAAAAAATAATTTCTATGATAAATCAGCCAAAAATAATAGAGTTAAGTACCCTCTGTAAATAGAAGAATGCATGCTTTAAGTGGTCTTTTTCTCCAAAATATCATACTTTTTCCTAATCTAATTTTATATTCCTTCTTATTTAATGCTGAATAAGCTATTATAATAATTACTTCAACTCCTAACATCAATCTATTCGCTATTCCCTATTATTTGAATATCCACTTTTACTTTGAGAGATTCTTTCTTTAAATTAATCTTTCCCTAAGAAAATATTGTTGGTTCCTAAAAAATCTATATAAAATTTAAATTGCTTATATGTAATATTTTGAACAAATAATCGCTTTTTTCTACTGAAAACAAAAGTTTTTACTAAATCTTATTCAATAAAAATGTAGTAAATCTTCTAGATAGATTTATAGAAACACTAAGTAATTAATTATCAACATTCCTATAAAATTTAATAAAATGTAATAAATAAATTAAACTAATTATTTTACTTTTTAATAAAAAAATAAATTCTATCATAATTAATTTCTCTCTCAAAACAAATTTCTATTTTTACATTATCAAATGTTTATTTGTAATCTTTTATTTTGTTAAAAAATTACTATAAAAAAAATCCTGACCACTCGGAATCGAACCAAGATAGAGAGAGCCTGATTCTCTTGCTTTAACCATTAAGCTATGATCAGTAATGAAACTATTTATTTACAAAATGAAAAGCTTTTATAAAAATTATGATAAAAATATATTGTTTTTTTAAAGGAAATTCTTTAATTTATTCTTTAAAATTGATTCTTTTTAAAATATTTTTAGGAAAATCACTAAATAATTATTTAGCAAAAATAATAGAAAAAAATAAAATAAAATTTGAAAAATGTAAAAAAAAAAAAATCCGAACTCCCGGGTTCGAACCGGGGACCACCGGATGACTACAAACTTTACAGTCCGATGCTCTTCCAACTGAGCTAAGTTCGGTTCGGTGAAATATTGAATAATAATTAAGTCCTTTTGCATTGAATTGGCTTAATAAATTATGGAAAAAAAGGAAAATATTACCAAATCTTTAATTTAATATGGTATTAGGAAATAAATTTAAATAGTGACTTAATATTTATCAAATATTCATGTGATTATTTAATTTTGTTGGAAAACTAAATGTTACATGCATACTAAATCAATAAATTTTCATATGTGAGTAAAATTTAAAGTCTATCTTATAATCAGATTATACTAAAAATAAGTACGAATCAAGCAATTATCTAAATTAAAAAAAGTAGTATAAACAAGAATCAAATAAATTATTTTCTAATTAGAATGGGAGGAGTCAAGAACATTGATAAGCATGCAGATGTTAGCACTTACTAAGTCAATACCAATCCGCAAACAGCATTTGCAATTCTTAACAGTATGATTGGAGGAACTATTCTTTTGCTGCCAATCTATTTTAATAATGTCGGATATCTCTCTTCTTCAATGGTTATATTTATTACTGGAATAATGTGTTATAAAGGCGCAGATATCTACATTCAACATCTCAAAAAGGACGAATTTGATTCTCAAGAAACAATTCACAGAATATTAGGTAAATTAAGATTATTCTATTATTGAATCATTTTGATTTAAGAGATTTATCGACTTTAAAATGAACAAAAATTATCACAGTGTGTGCAATATTTATAACAATTGATATAAAGAAGAGTTAAGTAACTAAATTTATTTAATGAATTTGATTTCTTTAATTGTTTTTTGTTGTTCATAGTTACTATCATTTGCATCATTTGATATCAAATTTTATTAAAATTCCTTCTAATGTACAAAAATTAATCAAATTAATCTACCCATAAAAAAAAAATATCAAATCTATCTAGAGCTTTACTTTTGATTAGAATAAGCTAGCTAAATTTAATACCATAAATTCTAAGATTTGATATATTTTAATTTCAAGAGAAATAAAATTTTACTTATATTTTATTTATTTTAATTTGCAGCATCAACTTATCAAATATATAAATTTTTAAAAAATTTATTTGGTAATAATAATAAAATTTTACAAAGAATTATCTAAAGCTCTACTAAAATTGTTTTTAAAAACTAAAAGTTTATTTAAAAATATTAATAATCACACTCAAATCAAATTTTGTTTGTTCTTGAATTTTATAATTACTGATAAATTTCTATTTAATTTTTTATTTTTGTATTAAAAAAAATGAAAATTTTACAATTAAACTTAAAAAATAATAGCTGAGCTACTTTTCATTCGAAATTTAAGTATTTATTTATAAAATTTAATTATAAAGGAAAAGGCTGGAGAATCTTTTTTGTTATAATTTCAACAATCAACATGTTTTTTGGCTGTTTGGTTTACTATGACTTTTCTATCGATATGCTCTACAGCATTATTACTTTTGTAATGAAGAAGAGTGGTTGTGAGTAAGGAAATTAATTTGAAGAACTTTCTAAGGTTTCATATGATCGCTTTTCAGTTTAATACTTAGCATTTGCCATGTTTCCTGTGTTTTTGTCTATTTGTTTCCTTAGAAATTTTAAATTTCTTGTAAAATTAGCAGAATTGGGTGTATATTCTATTTACAGCTATATAGTATTTATAATCTATAACTTTATTACAAATATCACTTCAGAAACTTTGTAATAAAATACTGGTGAAATCAAGCTTTTCACTTGGAACATTGGTACTTTAGGATGTACAGCTTCTTCTGCTTTCTCTACCCATAATAGCGTCTGCTAAATTATGAAATGCAACAAAGATTAGTCCAAAAACAGATTTGTAATTAAAATGACTTACGTTGTTGGGGCTATCATTTATTTAATTATCGGAATTATTGGAGCTTTAGGAGTTGTTGGAAGAAAATCTCAAACAGGATCTGATGCTATAATTATTAGTGATTACTATTCGGTTGATGACTGGTAACCTTTAGTAGTCTAGATATTGTATTTCATTCATTTAGTAAGTATGAATCCAATATTTTTCGATATCTGCCGTTAAAGATTCTTTGATATAATTTATGAGAGTAGAGGTGGATAGGCACCAAAATGGGTCTTTGTTACTGTTAATATATTTTACTGTTTAATTTGTACTTTGGTTAAGATTTTGCACATCACTCCTGATATTATCATTAATTTCAATGGCGCTTTTAGTTCCTTTTTTATCATTTATTTGATTCCTTCTTTGTTGCATCTCGCATGTTATCATGGTAAAAATAAGCTATTAAGAGCCTTAAGGAGAAGTATAAGATCTGAGAGAGACATAAAAGTTAAAGATATTTAAGATAAGTTGATTGTTAATCAAAGTGAATTTACTAACTAAAATGAAGATGAAGAGGAAGAGTAGCACAAAAATTTGGCTCTTTTTAAAGCAAATAGCTCTGGTTAAAAATAAAGTGTAATAATAGAAGAAGAGGATGAAAATTTATCAGAAAGAAATAGCATCAATAGGATGTAGAGGAACTCTAGTATGAGAAAGTCATGTAACGATCATGAAGATGAAATACATAGTGTCAACAAGTATGTCAGATACTTTGTTTACATATTTATTATTATAACTGGAATGTCAATTTTCTTTTATGGAATGTACTCTCTTTTTGATTAGGCCATAAATTCTTGATAATAAAAATAAAATAAGCAGAAACTAATTATAAATTAATTAATAAAGTTATTCATTGTTATTGGTAATATAAAATATCAAAATAAATTGAAAAGTCTTAAATTATTTTTGTTTTTTATATTATCTTATATTATATTCATTTATTAATATGTTTTAATCTTGCTACCGTAAATTTTCGAAATAAATAAATAAATATATATTTGATATTTTTCAGGATGAAAAGGTGAAAACACTTCAAATATTCAGAAAAAAAAACTAAATTTGTTGAATACTCATTTTCAATAATATAGAGTATTTTTTTAAATAATTAAATAATATAATTCATATAAAATAGGTAATACACATAAAAAATAAAATTAACACCTGTCTAACAATTAAATAAATATACTTAATAATATATTATTTTGCATTTGCCCAAGTTACTTTTAATTGAATTTTTTTGATTTATTAGCCTTATTTTATTATGATTAAGTATATAAATATATCTTTTTTGAGATATTTTATCTTTTATGATTAATAATTCAAATTTTTTGATTTAAATATCTTATAAAAATCAGAAAAGATATTTAAAAAATCAATTTATATTTTTCTTTTTCTAATAGAAAATTTTTAATATAATTGAATATTAATAATTATAAATTAAACAAAATCTTTTTTTTTAACAATTAGAAAAATTATTAGTTTATTTGTTTAATTTATTATTTAATTATTAATCATACTATCTTCATTTATTAAATGTTAATTAGTAAAGAATTATACTTTCTTCAATATCAAATTATTTTTCTTCAAAGCTAAATTATTTTAGGATTATGCTTTCATTAACTTCATACTAAATTTCTTATTATTCTACTTCTTCGTAGTCATAAATAGATTCAATAAATTTTAATTAAATATGGCAAGATTCTTTTTCCATATAATTGCTTATTTATTGATCTAAGTAGAAGTAATCAGTAAATTTTTTGATTTACTCTTAAAATTAAAATAATGAAAGCTGGCTTTATTATGCGAATTCAAGCCAGTCTTTCATAATTAAAATCTTTTGATCTAAGCCAAGGCTATTATATATATTTTATTCAATATTCTTGAAATCAAGCTTTTTTGAATTCATAGCAAATTAGGTAGATTAAAGTATTTTTTAAGAGTTTTATTTTTAAATGTCTACTTTTTGAGAATCGAATTGAAGTTATAATTAATCAGATCTAATATCTTTACAACAAAATTCTTCAGAATTCATAAAATAGACTGATTAGGTATATCTAAAAGGATTTGAATTTATTATCACTTCTGAAAGTTAATTTTGATTATTATTATTGATTTACAGTAATAAAGGCTCATTTACCATTTCTATTTGACAATCTATGGTATTATCTAAGTTCTCACAGCTCTGTTTTTGATAGTTACTAGTATTCTTGTTTTCGTTCATAAATTTTATTAATTCAAAACTTAAGTTTAAACCATTTTCCTCAAACTCATATATCTTCTCTAAACAATTTTAATAATTATCATAATTCAAAAGCTATTTTTATTGCTCTAGATTTTATATTAGATAATTAAATTTATCAGCTTATTGGCTGATCACTTCATAAACAGTAGGATGGAAGAGTTAAGAGTCAGTTTCCTCCAGGTAATTAGATAGTTATTATAATTTTTTGATACTAGTTTGTATTTATTCATACAAATCTTATTTAAGCGAATCTTTTTATTCCTAATTAATGCCACAAACAGGGTTTAAATCATATTCACTATCATCTTACCATTCATTAGTCTCAGATATTTTTATTGATTGTGAAAGAATTCCTTGTTATAAATCGAAAATGGACCTTTAATCTGCTTAGATACCATTTTAAAACGAGGACTGGTATGTTTTAAGCTACGAAATAGGTTATTCTTGTTAAATCTAAATCTTTTGATCTGGTTGATCTTCAACAGAATGTTAGTTACTTACCAAGTTTAAGCTTAATGAGGGAAGGTTTTATTAATTTTCTAGGTTTTCTGACAGCTAAAATTATTCTTAATCGAAGTTGTTGTCCATCTTAAATCAAGTTAGCGACCAAGTCTCCTAAAAATTATTGCTGAAATAATATATTTTTAATAAACTACTTGTTTGTTATTCAATTTCTTATTTTTAATAGATAAGAAATCTGATAAGTATAAATATTTTTAGAATATCTAATTAAATATTCTTTTAATGAGACCAATGCTTATCTGAATTTTTTTGCTTTTCAAATCTATCATTTTAAGCAAGCAAAAAAACAAACAAAAGCATAATCTAAATTAGAATTTAAAAGCTTTTTAATTGATGATTCCTTTTAAATTATTATTTTATTTTAATTTTCATTTGCTATTCATATTAATAGATACTACTTAATATTAATAAAATTGATAAATAGAATTTTAGTGTTAATAATACAGATAGACATATATCAATTTAATATTCAGCTGAATTAAGAAAAAAATTGTTTTCAAAAAATTTTAAAGCTATATTTTTCTCTCAAATAAATCCTATTTGATTGAATACCTAAAAAATGTTTTAATTATCAATATTGCTTTTCTCAAATAATTATTTCTAGAGTAGTTTAGTAAAATAGTAAATATTAGTTTATAAATTAAAAGAAAAATTTTAAATAAATAAAAAAAGGTATCGAAATAGATTAAAACATTTTTAGTTATTTTTTACATTTATCAACTTCAAAATATGTTTCAAAACCTTTTTTTTATTTATTTTAATTTATAAAAAAACAAAAAATAAACGAAGACTCAATGTATTAGGGTTAATATCACCTTTAATTAATTTAATAATAATAAATAAAATAGATTTCAATTGTAGATCTAATAAATTTAAAAATTATTCATTTTAATATTAAATTAATAAAAAAGATATCTCTTTTTATTGTTTTAGAAATTTATTATATGTATGTGTCTATGCATATAATCAGTATCAGAATGATAAATAACTTTATTAATTCTTAATTAATTAGATTTGTAAAACATAAAATAGTAAATCAATCAAATATTTTATCAAACTCTTTTATTTTTAATAAATATTTTGAAAAACTGTATTAATTTATTCTGCTTAAAATATTATATGGTTTATTTATCAATAAGTACAATTTTTTTGTAAATTCTAAAAATTATTCTAAGATACCAAGTCTATGTCAGACAGATTATAATTATGTATTTGATAAGAAGGAAGATAATTAATTAATTATTGATAAGATTATATTTTGTATTTTTTATATTCTTTTATGCTTTTGTAATTTTTGTAATTAAAATAAATTTTAATATTTTTTATTTAGAAAAAGCATGACAATAAGTGACTTAAATATTTTTTTCCTTCTATTAAATTATCAATTATTAAAATAGTATTTTAATTAATAATAATATATTTTTTATTTCTCTTATACTTACTAAAAAAAATAATATAATTTACAAAAAGATAAAATATATTAGCAGACAATTTTACTGAATTGATTAATTTTAGAAAAATTGTATTAAATTTTTTATTTTATTTAAATAACAATTAAAAATATTTGGATTAATAACATTAAAATAATTTACATAAATAAAAAATATTATTTAGTTTTTTTTATTAAAATTTTACTATTATTTTTCATAGGTAAAAATATTTACTTAAAAAAAAATAATTTATTTAAAATGAATAAATAAATACATTAAAAAACATTATTAAATCTATTTATTTAATTATTTAATAAATATATAAAATTTATTAGTATGAAATTAAATTTAAAATAAAAAAATAAATAGTATCTATATCTTGTGCCTTGAATCAGGTATATCCAAAGATTTGAGGTAATTAAATTTATTTTATCATACTTTTTAAGCTAAAAAAGAGTAATATTTATTTAATTTTAATGAAAAAAATCAGCATATTTAATTTTAAATACAAAATGAATCATCAATGTATAATTAATATAGATAGATTTACTTTAAAGATTTTAAATAAATTTAAATTAAATTTTTTTAAAGCTGAAAATCAGAATAATAATATGCTGATTGAAATTAAGGATAAAGCAAGTAAAGAAGAGTGAGATGATGCTTTATCATTAGTGCTAATTAATTCAGGAGCATATTAATCATCATATTAGTTATATTTATCAAAATATATGCATTGATAAAATTGATATGCTTTTTTTTAAATTTACTGAAATTCACTTTTGCATTAATTTTGAATACATGAGCCAACAATTTCTGGTACTCTTTAATTTAAATTATTATAGCATCTTAGAGCAATGCAATTATTTTATAGGAATATTTCCTTCACACAACCTTTATCCTTTTCACAGCTAAGAATATAATTACTAACGCACTGATATTTTTAATATTTAACTTCAGTAAACTCTTGATAACATTTTTCGAAATTTTCAGGGTTAGACATAAATAACTTAATCTATTTCTTCTTCAAATTACTTTCCTTCTTTTTTATATTTATTTAATCTAATTTTCTCTTATTCTGGATTATATTTAGCTGCGTAAAAGCATTAGTAAGTTTTCAAACTTAACTATTAAACTTCCTCTGAATCTTTTTTAAATTATCTTTAAATACAAGATCCGTATATTTCTGCATCTCCTTTGTCAAATTAAAAGCCACATCTTAAAATAGTACAAGAATATTAATAAAAAGATTTACTAATACATTCTTTTCTATTTCCTTCTTTACATTCTAAGTATTGCTTGTTTAAGCATTTATCATCTTCGCTTTGATGTGTATCATCTTTCAATTAGTTTAGATAATAATCAATCTTTTCTTCTGTAGATATTGTTTCATCAAATAAATTTTATTTCTATTTTAGTTATTCTTCAATTTATTATTCAGTTAATTTTATTTGGTCTTATTAAGAGACACTTATACCAAATAAGCATGCTAAGATGACAATTAGGAGTTTCGAATTGATTTTTGAATTAGTTATATTTATTTTGTATTTGTTATTTTTTTTTAATTTATTTAAATATTATTTTAATGATAATTTACCTCAAGTTTTTAAATATATTTGATAAAATAGATCATAAGTATAGTTATAAATAGTTTAAATTTTTAATTTTAAACCAAATTATTAATTAGAAAATAGAAACATTTATTCTTATTTTTAGAAACGATATAGTTTTTAAACGTATTTGTTAAATAGATAATAATTTTACTTCTAAATAGCTTACATTTTTAATTTTAAACAACATTATTAATTAGAAAATAGGAACATTTATTCCTATTTTTAGAAACAATATAAATAAGTATTATAAGCAACATGAAAAAATAGTACTATTTAATTATCTGTTATATTAAATGAAATAAACATTTCTAAATTTCTTTAAATTAATGTTAACACTTAAAAATAAGCTTAATGTGATTTTCTTTTAATTTTTTTAAATACCTTAATTCCTCTATCCTTATAAAATTGTACATACATTAATGAGTATTTCATATAAAAATTATTATAAATGTGTTAAAAAAGGCTAGTCTAAAAAATTTATGGCTAGACCACACACACTTTTCCCTTTATATTTTATACTAACATAATTAATAGGTATTTTAACTAATATAAAACTAAAAAAGACATTAAATAAATAAATTTTATTAAAAATTAATCCTCAAATAAAATTATAAGCACAAATTTTCTTTCTTTTTTATAAAATTAATTTTATTTTTTATTTTAAAATTAAATGTTAACTTTATTTATAATAAATGTTTATGAATTAAAAATATTTTATCTTTCGTTTGTTATTTATTAATTGAATGAGTAATAATCAATTTATGTAATAAAATTATAAAGTATTCTTATAAACGATAGATAGATATTTTAAATAATAGAAATTACTTTTTGCTCTCTCTCTTTTTTATATTTAAAAGGGCTAGAACTTATTCTGATTATTTAGTTCAGTAATTTATTAATTTACAATAAATTAAATTTGTGATGATTAATATTAAATTATAATATTACTCAAATTTTTATCAAATATCATGAATATGTTTAAAAAAAAATTTGATTACTAAATACTTTTAAATACTTAAGTAAATTTAGAGAATACCTGTAAAAAATAATAAGCAAATATTCCATATTAGTTTAAAACTTGTGGCATTTATATCTTTAATCAAAATTTGATACGGTTGCTTTATAAATTAATGAAAAAATTCTAAAATGTTAAGAAAAAGCACTATCCTTTTAGAAATTAATTTAATACTACCATAAAGTACAACTTGTAAATTTACCTTATTTAGAACTAAAGTGTAAATAATTAACTATTATCAAATTATTTAAAAAATAATATAATTTAAATTATACTGTAGAACATAAAGTCTTCGTTTGTATTTTTACTTTTTTACAATAGGGTGTGAAATAAATATTATAAATCTAAGTTAAAATTCCTAAAATTATACTGGTTCTTAATTCAATCTTGTTAAGATTAGTTATCTTATAAAGCGATAGACTTTAAATAATAGAAATTACTTTTTGCTTTCTCTTTTTTAAATTTAAAAGAGCTAGAACTTATTCTGATTATTTAATTCAGTAACTTATTAATTTACGATGTAAATTAAATTTGTGAGAAGAAGAAAAAGAAGAAATTTACTAACAAATAAATAATAATAAAATAGATGCTGAACATTTAGTATAATAGAGTGATGATGCTGATGATAATAACAATGATAAACTATAAGAATAATATGCTCTGTTATCAGAATCTGAAGCAGAAGCATTAATTAAGAAATAGATGAAGAACTAGAAGATGAATATGAAACTAATTAAAAGCTCAAAGATATATTAATCGAATAAAAATCTTTTAAAAAAATATTTATATTTGATATTTGTTTATGTTAAAATAGTATTTCTAAAATTTGATTTTTATATAAAATTAAACTATTTATAATTATTTGCTAAGATATATTACATTTTTTGGGTAGTAATCTCTTATTATATATAATGGACACCTAAATTAAATTAAATGGTGTCAAAAAAATAATTTAGAAGGTAGGTAGATGCCAATATTTTTTTAATCTCAAAATTTGATTTCTGTATTTTGATTAATTTTTGTAAAATATAAGAAATCAAATATATAGAAAATAATTAATTAAGATTAAAAAAAAAAAAATATTCATTAGTAATATAAAAATTATTTGAAATATCACAAATCATGATATCATGATCTATGATATTTTAAATGCAGGAACAGCTATATTATTAGAAAAATTATCAAATAAAACATGTAACAATTAAAAAACTCTATAATATAATAAAATATTCAATAAACAAATTGTATTTATGATTGATTGATTGATTTATTATTTATCCTTACTAAATGTTAAAACAATCTTAAATTAGATTGCTTATCACATTCCTCAAAATTTTTTTTAGATTACAAATGAATAAGTTGCTGAATTAAGTAATCAGTCAGTTCTAGAAATTTTCCTTACTTATTAAAAAGAGAAAGTAAAAAGTAATTTCAATTATTTAAGTTATTTATAGATAATTTTTATAAGATATTCTTTAATTTTATTACTTTCTAATTAAATTAAAAAATAAATGGTAAGCAAAAAATAAAATATTTTTAATTAATTTATATTTATTAAAAATTAAATTAACATTTACTATTTTTAAAGAAATTTAATTAAAAACTTAATATATAAAATAGGAAAGAAATTAATTAGTGCTAATTATTTTTGATAAATTATATAATTAAAATGCCTTTACATTGCGTTAAAAATTAGAATGAGTTGTTCAAACGGCTCAAATTAATATTGTTTTAAAAGAATATAATTTATATTAAATATTACAAATAATATAAAAATATAAATAAAAATACATAATTAAATATTTATTAATTCTTTTTAAATTAATCTTTATTAGTACACATATATAGATAGATAGATACAATAAGAAATGAGTCTTTTATTTAAAATTGTCAATCATATGATTTCTTTATCAATTTATTGAAAAAACCTCCTTGTATTTTCCTTAAATCATTTACATGTCCACATTCAACTATCTTTCCTTAATCAAGTACTGCTACTCTATCAAATAATTCAATATTTTCTAATCTATGAGTTATGACTAACAGTGTTTTATTTTCTGTGAATTTAAATATTTATTTATGTAATTCAGCATCTGTTTTCGGATCCATGTTTGAGGTTGCTTCATCCAAGCATACTATATCTGCTTCTCTAAGTATTATTCTTAAAAAGTTTACAACTTATTTTTCACCATTCGATAAATTTTGACCACCTTCTTCAACTTCAAAGTCTAGCATATCATCATTTTGCTAATCAATTTCAATAACTTCACTTTAATATTCCTTCATTTATTTCTATTTATTAGACTCATTATCCTCTGATTCTGAATGATTTCTTATTTTTAAGTTAGTTTCTCCTACTTTTTACTGAATTATTTATCGAGGAATTTTGCCTTCAGGATCTAAGTTATCTTATAAACTTGCATTGTAAAGAAATCCAAATTAAGGAATAATAGACATTTATTATCTCAGGTCTTTCAAGCAAAAAGATTAAATGTTTTTACTCTTTAAGTGTATGTTACCATGCTATATGGGATACATGTTAAAAAGAGTATTAAAAATAGATGTTTTTCCAGAACCTGTTCTTCCACAGAAAGCTATTTTTTCACCTTTCTTTATTTTTAGATTAAATCCTTTGAGAGCAAATTGAATTTCTTTTGAATCTTTTGATATATCTGTGCTTTCATTAATGTTATCGTAAGTTAAGTAAACATCATCAAACTTAATTTCAAAATCTTATTATTCATTATTATTAGAAGGCTGTATTTGAACATTTGTAAATTTTTGATTTTGCTGTACTTCTAAAAGATTCTCTTTATCATTGTTGAAATATTACCTTATACGCTCAACAGAAACTAAATATTATTCAGTATTACAAAAATATTGTACAAGATCAGAAAATTTAGATGATAGAAGGATAGAATATGTAAGACACATAGAAACTGTAGTATAATTGAAATCTATTTCGCCTAAAATAAATATCATACCAGTTATCACCACACAAATGAACAAGAAGTTGCTCACAAACAATAACCTAATAGACATCCATATCTATATAGTTTAAGAAATTAGAAAACTGTTAACACTATCATTTAGTTTTTCCAAATAGTCTTTTAAAATAAGTCTCTCTTTACCAAAAGCTCTGATTAAAATTAACCCTTTATCTGCCTCATCCAAAGCATTTAACAATCTCCCCTAATTCACAGAATTTAACCTTTTGATTTCTCTATTAGAGTGTCTAAAGAACTTTTAAATAAAGTAGATGAAAACTAAAGATACCAAGACAAAAACTACCAACCATGGGAATTAGATCAAAATGCCAATAGAATATCTTAAATTTAAGAATAAAAATAATTTTTAGATATTTAATTATAAAAATAAATTTTGAAAATTTTTATTGTTTTAAAAGAAAAAAGACTTCCAAATTTGAAGAAAAAAAATAAGAAAATAGATTTCAAATTAATTAATTGTTTCATAAGGAAAAAATTATTTTATTCCTTTAAAAAATTAATTAAAGATTGAATAATAAAAATTGTTAATTTAATGTTTTAAAGAAATAACTATAAATAAATTGTTTACCCAAAGGTATAGGCTAATTATTCTAAAAAGACGTGACAGTTCCATGGTAAATCTTAGTCGATAGTGAAAATGTCATCAGAAATTCTATTTATAATTCTTCCAGGGGAATTTTGATCGAAGAATTTCATTTTACTGAAGATAATCGATGAATTTAGTTTTGAAAATATTTTTTTGCTGCTAAGAAGCGCACATAGACAATAGAAAAAAGATCTTAGAGCAGTCATTCCTAAATTCAAGAAAATAAAGAATAGAAATGTGTCTGTGAATGATTTAAAGATATTATTTATATCTTCAAAAAATGTGCTTGATGGCGAAACTTTGTCTCTAAGCCAGAAATCTATGATCATTTGAGACCCTTACATCATAAAATTGGCTATGAAGAATATCACAAGCAGGAAATAATTTGCGTATTTCATGTAAGTTGTCAAAGTTTTTAGTTTAATATTTCCCTTTTCTCTTTCTTCTTCGTCATCTTGCTATTAATCTTCATCTTCATCAGTGTATTTCTTCTTTTTTTTTAGTTTATTTAAAATAATTTAATTTATTAACACTAAAGAAAAATTAGTAAAATTACCTTTTGCTTTTCTTCAAAATCTCTTTCTTTATTTTTATTAAATTCAAGATTTTTTATTTTTTCATTTTAGATTTCTGTTTCTTAACAATTCATCATTTCATTTAATTCATTTGTCAAATCTTATTGGTTGAATTCTTCTTGAATTTCGGTCTACTCTCTAAGCTTTTTAGCTTCTTCCTACTCTTTTAATTGGCTTTATCCGCTAAGAATAAATTTTTCTATTTCTTCTTAATTAGAGACTAAGGAACCTTTTTAGACATAGAAAATCTTGCTAATCATCTCTCTATTTGAGAAGATACTAAAATGACTCGTCACTAATAGAACAGTTTTTTTAAGCTTTTTGATAAGAGTTTCTAGAATTACTTGTTAATAAACCTTCTCTGCAACATGAGCATCTAAACTGCTTAAGATATCATCAAATAGATATATATCGCACTTCTAATAAAGAGCTCTGCAAATAGCTATCCTCTGTCTTTATCCTCCACTTAGATTACAACCTCCAGGTCCGATTAACTTATCGTCTTTCTTCTAAAATGAATCGAAATCTACTCTCAGATCACAACATTCTATACACTGATTATACCATAAAGAATCATATTCTGAACCAAATAAAATATTTTCTTTAATAGTTTTATTTTACAGCCAATGATTTTAAGAAACATAAGCTATCTTTCCATTCACAATTAATTTCTTTTCAAAGTTAAGCAATCTCTCTTAATTTTAAAAGCTTTGATTATTTGAAGAAATGAGAGAATCCTGAATATTCATCTATTCTATGTCCATCTCATTCAAAATACCTTACAAGAGTGCTGACTTTCCTGACCCTATTTGCGTTTAAATAAATCAATATGTTTTCTCGATGCTCAATATGTTTCTTCAAGAAATTTTTATTTCAATTATTTTGTTTTGTTTTTTTTTAATAAAAATGAAATATTTTTTACCTATTTCTCCAATGATAATTGCCATTTCTCCTTTTTAAATGGTTAAATCATGAATTTTCAATTCGAAATTTGAAGTGCCTTAAACATTTGAGCTTTCATACTAATTTTAAAGTAATGATTGCTGATTATCATTTAGTTATTCCACCTTAGATTTTTTACTTAAATCTTTGTAATTATCATGGCTTACAGATTTAAAACTAGGCCATTTGAATATCTTTTTCTTTATTTAAATAGCAATCTAGGTAGTATCATTTTCTGCGCTATCAAAAAAGCTGCTCTGATTAACTTAATTTCTTTCATCCAAATCAGCAGCTTAATTAAATAAAATAGATTAAATTTAATTTATAACTTTTTTAATAATAATTCTTACTATTATTGTGGTTGATTTAATTTTAATTTAAGAATTTCTTTATTCTTTTAAACGAGACTCTACACTTGACTAAGTCTCCTACGCACCAAGGAATAAGACTAATGGGATCAGTTAATATACCAAATAAAGCTATAATAGTGAATACATTACAGTCAGCTAAAATATTTCCATCATCGACGTAGTTAACTAAAAAGAAAAACAGTAAAAAGTAGCTAAGACAGTTCCAAAACACTCCCAGTACCCCATCAATGATTCTAATTGCAGTTACTTATTTGAATTCCCGAGAACGTATTTTTTATATTTTTCTTTTGAAGATATCTTCCCAGCAAAGATATTTAATGCTCTTCATTGCATCAATGACATCTTTACACAGAGATACTCTTTGATCCTTCTGCTAAAATTGTTTATCAAAGCAAACCTTTTAACCATTAAAAAAAAATCAAACAAGCTTTTAGCTAAAAATAAATTTACCCCTAGAAAATGAGTGATGACTATGTTGAATACAGTCGAGCCTAAGAGAATATAGAGTCCATGTAAGATTGATTTTCCCATTTTGTAGTATATAAATAGCAAGACTATTAAAATGGTTACTATACTTTATGTTGTTTGAATTAATGCCCAGAATAATTGTTGCTATTAATCAATGTCAACTGTAATGATGTTGTTTGCATTTGGATTTTCTTCTGTTTCGTTTGATTATTCCTATTCGTTACCTTAACCTGTGCTTGAAGTAGAAACCTGGGTCCTTAAAGATTTGCTAAAGACTAGATATTGCAGAGTTGCTTATGCATTTGCCTTCCATTATGCTTAATACCACATATAACGAGAGAAAAATATGTTCTTTAATATGTAAGCTACTGCAACAGCTGCTAACAAAAGACAAATGTCTCTCTTTTCATCATAAGTAGTTTAATAGTTTTTCAATTTGTCAGTTATGATATCCATCAATAGAATACATCCACAGCTTAAGACTGACTATAGGATGGAGTAAAATAGACCAAAAAAGAAGCTTTTATAAGTCATGTTAAAGTAAATTGATCCTAAGTTAAAGTTATTTTAATTTTCAAAGTAACTTGGATGGTGTTGCTTATATTACTCAAGGTTTTCTATGATGACTTTTACCTAGGTTGATTTAGTTGTGTAATCATTTAGATCCTCACTTTAAATCTGTTTATCTTCTCTATAGAGCTAGTTGATGTGCTTGAATAGTTTAGTCAGAGCTGTAAAAAAGACATTATGATCTTCTCTACGAGCTCCTGAACTTGGTAGCACTTCTTCGCAATAGATATTTGCTTGTCTTTTTGTTTGTTGTAATTGCATATCACTTTCTATCTAGTTTTAAAAGCAAGTTGTATTTTTCTAAGTTGTTGAGTAGAAATTTTATTCCTTTTTCGCTTGTTGTTTAAAATCCATACCTTTTTTTGGCTTTTTATTTGCTTAAATAATAATTAGTTTTTTAGTTAAATTTAGGTAGATATTTAAAAACATAATTAGATTAATTAGAAGATTACTTATAAAATAGTTAATAAATTGATGCATAATCTTAAATCGATTTAAATTTTATTGCAATTAGTTTAAATAAGAGTGCAAAAATTGATTACTTGTCATTATTTTCCAAATTTGTTCTTTTAAAACTAGTAAATAATTCTTTCAATAAAAAATGAGTTTCTAATTAATTCTTATAAATTTTCTTTCTGTTTTTTTATAAAATATCTTATTAAATCTGATAATTACAAGAATTAATTATTAATCTTAAAATAATAAAACTTGAAATAGATAACAATTAAACTTTAATGATATGGAAGAATTATCATTAATAATTTCCAAATTTATCAAAATTTACTGTCTAACTTTAATGAAATTAATCAAAATTGTTTGTTTTATAATTTTGTTTTTATTTATTTATTTCAAAGTAATTATGTATATAAAATTATTATTTAAATTAACATCAAATATTTTATAATTATATTTTTTTATAATCTTTTCTAAATATTTAAAACTAATTTCCTAAAATATATTTTTATTTGAGTTATTTTCATAATACTTAATTAAAATATTTTTTAATAAAAAATTATTTTTGAAATTAAATTGTTTTTTTATTTAAAATAATAAATTAATTAATAATAAATTCACAACAAAACTAAATAAAACCTTTTATTTATATTTTAATCAATTATAAAATATAAACACTAAACTATAACATTCTAATGAGATTGTAATATAAAAATGAATGTTTGTCTTTATTTTTTTAAATTGATCAAAGGAAAAATAGCAGATTTTATTTTTAGAATAAATTTAAAATAAATTAGAAAATATTTTACTAAAATTAATAACATTAAATTAAAAATCTTTAAAAAAATAACATTAAAATTTATTATTTTAAAAGAAAATATTTTTATTTAATAATCAAATAATTTAATCGTTTTTGGGTTTTATAATTTTGATGGGGTATTTTTTCTGTAGTTAAGAAGATAATTTTATGTTATTTTATTTTAATATGTTTATTAGTTTACTTTTTAAATTAATTTTATGTTTTTTTTCCTTTTCTTATTTTATTTAATTAAATATTGATTAATTTAAATAAATAATGAATTATATATCATTTTATGAATAATTTATTTTTAAATTCATTATTTGTTTTTTTTATCTTAAAATTAAAAAAGAATTAAATTTTTTTATTTTAAATTTATTATTTTTAAAATGTTTATTTTACATTTATGAGTAATTTATTTAAATTTATTTTTAATTTAAAATAAATTAATTATTCATATTTTTAATTTATAAAAAATTTTAATAAACATTAAATAGTTTTCTTTATTAAATAGATAACACAAACCTTTATCAAATTTTATTTTGGTTATACTAATAAATAAACCTCTAAAAACATTCATTCATATATGTATTTTAGTTATTCATTTTTAAAAGCTAAAAAGCAAAGCCCAGCATTTGAATAACTTAACTCATAATTGAAAGCTAAATATATTATTTATTACTTTTGTGAACTTTTAATATTATTTATACTTAAATAATATTATTTCTTTATATAAAAAATATACCATAAATCCTGTTTTAATATCTTTATTTTACGTGGCCTTTTTCGTTCATTTAATAAACGATTAAATATTCAATAGTAATATGATTTTTTTCACTTCTAATTAAGCTATTATTTCTTTATGATTCTCTTAAATTAAATTTCTTTTTTATAATAAGGAAAAAATGCATATGAATCTAATTATAAATTATATAAAAAAATACATAGATAGATAGATTGATTGATAGATAAATAGTTTTGCCTCTATTTATAATAAAATCTAAATATGCATTTAATTTAATGACAAAAAATTAAGTATACTTTGAGTTCTAAAATAGTACAGTAAAATTAACCAAAGTAATTTTATTTGTTAAATTAAAATTAATTTAGTTTTATTTGTAAGTTCAATAATCTAATAAAATAATTTCATAATGGCCAAGAAGACATTTAATTATTTTAATAACTTATCAAAAAGTGAAAAAAAATTGAATTATTCGAAACGTCTATATATATTAATATTAATTAAATCTTCGACATATTTTATTATTGCAGCTATTGATATAAATATGTTATTTTCTTATTGAAAACTTTTTTCGAAACCAGTAATTAGATTATTTTATTTTTGAAAAAATAATTCAAAAAAGTATATTAATGTCATTTACTCAAAATGTTAAATTAATTAGTGTACAAAAATAAATTGTTATATTTAGCTATTACTAAATTAATTAAATTTTGCATTTACAAAACATAAATCCAATAAAAATAAATTATTCTTCAACACATTCAATTAAATTTTGAGTTCATCTATTTTTAGATTATATTTAAAAACTATTAGTAAAATAAACAAGACGTTTATGTAATTTTAAATATTTTATTGAAGTCACCAAAAATATTCATTTTAAATACTAAATTTATTTGCGATAAAATATCTTTGATAAGAATATTTAAAAATAAGATATATTTTTCATTCTTTTGAATGATAAAAATATTAATAATTAAAAAAAATAAGCCAGCAATTAAGTTACTGAATTAAAATCAAATAAAAATCATTATAAAGTTATAAACAAATAAGAGTATGGAAAATATTTTTTATAATTAAATAAATATATTTTCAAAAAGTTATATCTAATTATGATGAAATTACCTCATTCAAGAAAGAAATAATGATTTTATTATGTTAATAACTTATTTATTTGCTCTTTTAAATTATCATTTTTATTACTTTTGAACAATCATCTACTTTAAAGGAGAATGTATTAATTCAAAGTGGTACTATAGAAAATTTTAATTTATTTAATTATCTTGAATTAAATGACACTTTAATTTAAAATAGATCTAACAAAAAATATG